TAATGTTACAACAGAATGTAAACCAGAGAGGTCGACTAATGCTCAGCCATCTTCAGGTGATACAAGATTGAGCACTGAAAACGAACCAATGGATCTCAGCAAAACTGAAACAAAAACAACGCAAAATAACATTCCTGAAATACCAACCGCAAGAGAATCAAGTGTTTTAGCATCCCTCGCATCAAATACTGCCAAACTTCCAAATCATCAATCTCAATGGACAAATGGTGAGCCAATGCTGCATACATATTTGACAGAAAGGGCATTGCAGGATTCTAAGATCAAGCAGAGTCAGCTTACAGGCAACTTAAGTAAATTAAGAAAGATTGATATAGAAAAGTCAACATATACCGACAGTTACTGTTCTATGGATAGTAACAATAAAATTGTTACGTCAACAAAAAATTCATTCATTACGCCAGTTTCTTCATCTCGAGTTAATTATAATGATCCTAAAGTATCAGAAGAAAGTGACAATTCTTTGAAATCTCCGTCTGTATTGAGAGATGAAGTGTCTGTTATTAAAGAGTCGCCTGTGTCAACTAGTTCCGTTAATGAAAATAAAGGAACACTTACACAAACTCACAGCAACGCAGAAAATGCAAAACACGTCGTTTCTGAATATTTGAAACATGCAAGAATAAATCATATTCAAACTCAAGAAGACAGTATACAACATCAAAATGATGATTCAATCGACGACAACGTTTTGGTTATACGCGAAGATAACACAAAACAAGATGAACAATTTTCTGAATCGGAATCAGTCAAACCACCATCTTTGGACCATGAACCCGTGGCAAGAAAAGTTGTAATAGGTGTAGGGGGTGTAGCTTTTAAGGTTACAAAGGGAAAAGATTTCGAAAACTCATCTTATTCACCTGGAAGATTAATGGAAGATGGTCGCAGGGTTTGTGATTTTTGTAATAAAACTTTCACAAAACCTTCTCAGCTGAAATTGCATCTAAATATACATTACATGGAAAGGCCATTTAGGTGCAGTGTATGTGCCGTAAGTTTCAGAACTAGAGGGCATCTTCAAAAGCATGAACGTTCAGGTTCACACCATAATAAAGTGTCAATGACATCAACATTTGGGGCTGCTACGTCATTTAATCCCAGACCATTTCGATGTTCTGATTGTAATATAGCATTCAGAATACATGGTCATCTGGCGAAACATTTGAGAAGCAAAATGCACGTAATGCGCTTGGAATGTTTATTTAAATTACCTTTTGGTACCTTCACGGAAATCGAACGCGCAGGTGTAAGTTTGACAGATATTGACACAACAGACTGTGCAAGTTCGCTTGCTAGCTTACAATCACTAGCAAGAAAGCTTCATGAAAAGGATCCAACAAAACTTGAGTATCGGGAACCAAATGGTGCGACGCTCACTGGGTCTTCCACTGGCAGGGAGTCCTCGGAAGACGAAGATACTGCCGCTTGTGAAAACATGAGTGAAAGTGAAAAAGATATTGAAGGAAAAACTATTGATAGTAACGAATGTCAGGATAAAGACATCAGAGTTAATTATAGTGCCACAGATATTTAGTGCCAAAATTATTTTAAGTAGAATATTTTAATGTGCAATTTTGTTTTGTTATTAATTTAAGGTGTAACTATTCATACTGGGGTTTGACTCAGCAACGTGTGAAAACAAAACGATGCGCTTTAATTATAATATTATATATACTTAACTGTATCTTATTTTGATGTATAACTGTGAAACTATATATTATTATCTTGTAAATATCTCAAATTTGAATAATTTTAATTGTTGTTAAATTTGCTTCCATATTAGGGCTTACATACATATTGTATTTGTTATTATAGGTAATTCTTAACTAGGTTTAGTAAAACTGTAAAAGTAATTCAGGTGGAAATTTCAAGCCGCATACAAAACTTCCCATTTTAACGTATCCAAAACATTCTTACGTAAATATTTTGGTGGTCCACATTTTAGGTAAACTACGATTCAATATCAATGACACATATTGAAATTTCGTAAATGTAGCAAATTTATCTTGATAAGTACCGTTATTACTTTTGTATGTATTTTTTATAAAATATATACCTACTTATGATGTATTTACACTGTGTAACATCTACTTCCAAATCTTTTATCTAAAAATAATTGGCATATCAAATCCCATAAACTAAATTTAGATATACAAAAAAAAATCGTTCAAGTCTTCCATATCAAAAATAGTACTTGACTAGAAATTAAATTAGACAAGTACAGTCAGGATAACTACACCAACCAACAGACATACTTTCAGATTAATTCCACCCCAAAAAAATACATAATTATATCGTGTTTTTATTTCGTTAACTTTCGGCTAATTTACACATAAGATTATATACTATATGCGTTTATAATAAATGTAGTATTTTTGTTCTTCCTAACGTGACAGACAAAGTTTTTAAGTGTTTAAGCGTCGGGAAAAACAATAATACATCAAATTAAACGAGTTTACACAATTAAATAATAAGTCAACTTTAACTTTTACTGGTAACAAAGACGTTGAAATGTTCTCCTTAGAAAACTGATGTAATTCAGGCATATCAAAGTTAACGTAAATAAAAATTAACGAGACCGCCATCAAAATTCTATTTCTTGAAAAGGAAGCGGAAATTTAATATAAAAGAAATGTTTATGTAAATAATAAGTATTACTTATCCATATAGATAACCATATCATGAAACCTATTATATAGAAACAAATATTGCAACTTTTAACTGTATAAATTGTACGTAGTATTCCAAATTAAAGGCCTATTTTAGTATAAAGATGAATGACATACATTATATAGGTATCTTCTTTCCAATTTAAAGCGTTTGGGCCGTTATAAAGTTTGTAATTTTCCCAGTAAGTGTTGCCAGATTGGCACAATGCTATCGTAACTCACCATCTGGTATATGTATTTATGTCTATACCATTATTTTTGTGGTACATAACATACTGTATAAAAGTATATGACTGATATTATTATTTGTTTAAGTACTATCATAGATGCTACTGAACAATCTGGTATGCGTGACGATTCAATGTAAGTACAAAATCTAATGTATTTTAATCATTCTGTAAATTGGTGTGAATTGTGAAATGAGTATTCAAACAAAAACAATTTAATAATATGGAAATTATCGTAAGCACTAAGTGAGTGCGTTGGCATTGTGCCACAATATACTATATTATAGCTATTTTACATTATTATTGGAACGGTATGTTTGAAGGAAATGGTGTACTCGTGATTATGGTAGAACTATAGATATAATTTTTTTGATGTATATTATATCGAAAGGGGGTTAATTTTACTAAATTGTTGCAAGAAATTTGTAATAAAGGAGTTACATAATTATAATACATTGAGTTATTTAAAATGAACATTTCATTACAACCGTCAGCGGCAGTTCCCTTTTTATTCCTTTCCAGGTTTCTGAAATACCTTGAATCAACCGCGGTACATTCGTATTTCTTAATAGGAATTATTTCAAATTACCCCTCTCACCTAAGGCCGGAGGGAGTGCTAAGGTCGCAGTATCTTATTGCGCTTGCGACGCAACCCCGGCTGAACAGCGGCCCTGTTGGGGCTAATGACTCTTTGAGGCGCACGCGGAACGATATGTTATGCACCGTACCCTTAAGTCTGGATCTGATCGGGCGGCGAGCAAGGGTAGAAGACCAGTGCGTACGGTAGCCGGAAATCGTTGCTCGATCCCCTACGCCCGTAGGGTCGCCTACTGGGACGTCAGGGGCGTGAGGAGTTTTCTCACGCGCTCCGTCTCCTTCTTTGCGAGCATCATTGTTTTGCAGAAAGAGGAGACAGCTACTCAGTTTCTCTCGCTCCACACCATATGCTCGAGTAAGGCAGGACGCGAGAGGTCGCTGCCACCCGATCACTTCCTTGAGGACACGACGGTGTTCAGCCCAATTAGGGCACACACACTCTAAACTCGCGCTAAACAAACCAAAATGGTTTATTGTGAGCTGGCGCTGGGCGTAACAGATTAAGTTAGAAACTTGAAGAATGAAATTGCTTTTAACATAACCCTCTAGCTCTACCTAACTTTTAAGGTCACACCTCATTAGAGCCACGCGGCAGCCACTCTGCACCGACTCGCCTCCTGCGGTTAATATTATTTACGTCGTCTTGTATGGGCATGCGCTCACCACATCAAGTCCGTAGCGTTACCAGATCACCTCTGTTTTAAGCCCTTTACGCGCGGGTGGCGGGTGAGCCACTCAGTGACAACAACTCGCACTGCCCTAGGACAAATTATTATCAGACTACTCAAAATTCGTGGACCAAGCGGCGCATACTCGTTGACCACCCGGCGTTCACTCGTTTAACGCGGGACATTTAATCGTGATGACGCGACGTCCAGTCGTGGACTACCTGTCGCCAACGAGAAGGTGCAGGGTGGATGCCGGGTGGCTGTTACGAGCTGTTACCCTTAAACTAACATTAGGTTTGTGTTAAAATGTAATAAAACGATTTTTAACTTAATAAAACGATTTTGGATACTTATATAAAATTAAATGTTAAAAGTCTTGATTGATTGAATTGAAATTTATTAATTACTGAGGTGATTTGAAGCTTTTTTCAATTAAACACATTTAATAAAATGTTGCGTTTATAACTTACAAATGGTAACCGGCGATTTATATTGCATACCTACCGACCTTTTGAAGTTTATTTATGGATTTATGGAGGCTGGGTATGAGGGGGATATTTCCTTTTTTGCGAGCATCACAGCTTTTCAGCAAGATGAGATGACTTCCCAATATACCTATATAAGTATCAAATCAAATAAGGTCATATAACTCTTTGACGAATGTAAATCATGTGTATCCTCCTGAATAACTTTAACAATATGCTCACAATTGCAAGAAATATGTAGTGGCTAAACAGAAAGCAGGAATGTTTTGAAATAAAAATGTCATTATTTATAAACAGTCTTATTACTTATATTATAACATATTAGGTACATTACAATGTTTAGATATTATTTATAGATTCTTCATTCTTCCTCAGCGAGCATCAAAGACAACCACTGAAAATTGCTGTTAAGGATAATTGTAAATGATTAAGAATTAAACATATAGTATAAATCAAGAAATAGATATTGGTACACTACAGGTCTTACACATATAAGTCAACACATACTAAAATTACCCTCTTAATACACTATTAAAACCCTATTTTAAGCTTTGCAGCAACAGAAAGAACTGTTTAAAAGATTATTATACTATACTAATATATTCAATGTTGCAGAAATAAGTTATATAAAAAAAAGGTTAGGCAGACCAAAACACAAATAATATCAAGCATAATAAAATATATACCTACAAGTTTACTGGTTAAACTGGCACTAACAACTAGATACCTTTGGGGATCACCCTACATTACTTATTTTTCATATGTACATATATTACGAAAGAAATAGCAAAATATTCCAAATAAGCCATGCTAAAGGTGAGAAAAATAGCAAACCACCAGTTGTATTAGTAATTTAATTAAAAACTGTGAATATTAATGCATCTTAGTATTAGTTATTAATGTGTGTAAATTATAAAATGATTAAGTATTACAAGAACATTATACTAACCATAGTCCCAGGGAAGCAACAAAAAACCTCTAGTGCAAAGCTGTAAACCATACACACCAAGCAAAGCATATTTTATAAATTAAAAAAGCATTTTTTTATATGGGATTAAAACAATTATGTGGATGATGCTAGGATAAGGATTCAATGGTTAATTTAAGAAAAACATGAAAAGAGTTTTTTCCCTGATTAGTTTTTGTTGAGGTTAGGTTGGTAGTTTCAATGGGACAGGGTAACCCTTACCGTAAGGACTATAAAATGTGAATGACAAGCACACCCTCAGCCTAGAATAGTATAGCATGGATATATTAAACCTGTACATGATTATGGAAGGATAATATTAGGGCTGTCTGAACCGAAGGCATAGCATATTTAAATAATTTGTTAATAGTCTAGCCAGGATGGATAGGTAAAGATTTTGGTCTATTATGTGTAAACAACCATGTCAACCCATCAAAAAATGTATACCATGCCATAGCCAGTAATGCATTGAACAACTAAAGGCATAATAATTATGGTGGAAGTGTGATATTAACATCAGAAAATAAATAATGCATTGTATGGCATGCTCAATATGAAATGTTTGTAAACTACAAAGCTAAAATTGAGCTCAGCTGGATCTGGCTGCTTCCCAAACCATATAACTCTTTTGTCCTTTTATTGCTGCTTATATGCCACAATACTAAAAATGATGTCTGAAGAATGTAATTCTCCTTTTTTTTGTAAGTTTACAAACTTTTCACATGGAATTTAGTTCAAGTAGTAAGTAACACAAAAAGTTGACTTATTAAGAAAAGGATACATCTTTTTGTTCGCTTCTTGTACATTATTCTGTAACCACATTCTCTGCATCTTATTGGGTCTCTTGGTTTTATTTCGTTTTCCCGATGGCACTCTAGAAAAAACAATTTAAATATATAGTAACATCTTTAACTAAACACACGCATGGTATAATACATACAATTTATAACTTGTTATGACAGTGACAGGTGCAAGAAGTTCATGCAAAATTAACATTTTCAAAAGTACACGTTTAGAAGGATTAATGCAAATGTTTAAATTAGGTAATACAATGACTGGTATAAGCTTCGTTTTGTTTGTAAAGGTTGGTATTGATATATAATCACAAACAAATATTGGTGTGAATTGTTACAAAACATAACCACAACCAAAAACACGTTACCTCCACAAACGTAAATCATTGGAACCTTAGTCACTGATGACTCTTTGTTGCTGGAATCAGCCATGTTTTATATAAATGCTAGTTCTTCTTATTCCTATAAATACCAGATACTTTTCTGGGACAAGAAAGGCTTTGAAAATTTATTGTACTGTGCACTAAAGAAGCGCTGGCGCCAGACTTCAGAGTTGACTGTGTAGCATCAAGTGTCATATTATTTAGGTGTCAATGTCATTTGTCACAAAATAGTCAAAGTCAAGTCAGATGGTCGTAGACAATATTTTATGGCGAAGTTTTTTTTTATTGAACTACTCGTATTTCAGCCCTTGGAACTCTCGCTTGGGTTTGGGCCTTGCACTCAAAGATATTAAGTTTAAGTTAACGTTTGTTTTTGCTTGCAATAGTTAATGCTTAACCGGCGTTTTTAGTGTTATCATATCCTATGACATAAAAGCTTTCATAAACTTTAATACTTATTGTAATTTTTGTTTTAACACTGTAAACATGGTAATGAATGTAAATACATTAAATATTGTGATTGAGCGTAGAAACAATGACAATATAGTGGTCAACCACGCATCACAAGTGCAGCAGAAAACAGAATCTTGAAGAAAATTATTGAAAAAAAAGTAATCTTCGATGGTAACCTACCCACTAAAAATGTCAGTGTCAAATATGTCAGAAAATTAAAATTTCATCACAATATTATTTTTGATTGTCAATGTCAGTATCTGTAATTCATTTGGTACAATATTGCTTTTTGTTTAAAATAATAGTTACATTATTAATATGAATTTCTTAGATAACTTCGATCCCGAGACTTCAGCTCGTGAAAGAAGGAAGCTTAACCGTAAAAGTTATTATATGCAGTAAGTACCGATAGAGTTGACTTGAATCTAATAAGTACCATCAAAAGTATAGGGGCATTTGGCTTTGGCTGGCTGTTAGTTGCTAGCTGGTAGCTGGTAGTTTTGAATTTATGCAAACATACCATAAAACACTTACTAAGATCGATATTTTTCTAAAATTAGCATGCTTCCTACCATCCTTTCATTTGTATTTACATGATGTATTTAATGTATTAACTTTGATCTATAAGTATTTTATTAAGTGCTATTAATTTAGGACTTAGTGGCAGTATATTATGTGATAATGTTTATATAATGGTTATGTGTTTCAGCCGTAAAACCAAAAGTATATATAATGAATGTGGACAGATAGCAGCAACAGGCAAAGATTTATGTGATTGTTTAGATGAGACTTGTCCAGGCTGCCATTTCCCGTGCTCCAAGTGTAATTCAAACAAGTGTGGACATGAGTGCAGGTAAAATTGTTGATTCAATACAACAGTTCCAAACCAATAATATAAAGTAAGACATAAATAATACTAACATTTTAATCATTGTTTCAGAGTAAATAGAAAATGGATGTATGACAAAATAGAAATAGAAGGAAATGACTTTGTAATAAAAAACGAATATAAGCATAAATGATAGGTATTTAATTACAATAAAACAAACTTATTTGTAAGCTATGGAAAATAATAATCTTCCTTATTTCCAACCCCCACTAGAAGTGCATCTAAACATTGGTTTTTCCACAGATAATACTTTATGTATATATTTGACAACATAAGTCAACTATATACATAAATAGATCCAGATTTCTGTGACTTCAGTAAAGTGTTAAAGGATAACAATGAGAATGATAAATCACCAACCTAATCTTCATCCAGTAATAAATGTAAATATCAATTAAGTAATAAGCATGAACATAGATTTACAACAGGTGGTGTCTCAAATAATCACAACATACAACTGTTGGGCAGTAGCCTGCCAGCCTGATCACCTAGCCTGTTTAGAGATTCTTCCTTTTCCCATCTCATGACTTAGAGAATCTTCCTTTTCCGATCTCATGACTTAACTCTCTGTTCCCTAAAAGTTCATCAAACCCCAAGTGAGTGCCGGTGTTCACTCATCTATTGTCTTACTAATGTGTCTCATAATACCACTATTGAAAGATTTAAAAACTTAATATTATTACAATGTTTGCCCACAACTTTGTTCGTGTGGAATAGTTACATCTCGCGGGAATTTTGAGACGGTTCCGAAGCGCTTCGTCGATACCCAACCGAATACGTGTAATGAAATACTAGTGCAATATTAATTTCGATCCCGGTCGAGCATAGTGACAACTCTTATTATCTATCTATACTCCGTTTGGGCATTTTCTTTGTACTAAATGAATTAAAATAAAGACATGAACTGAAGTCCTGTAACGATCGATTGACTCCATTGCGCGATCACCGACATCCGTCGAGCATAACGACAACTTGACATTAATTATAATACCGAATTTTTTTTTAGCTATTTAGATTTAGATAGCGCCGTATGTTCGAAATAGGTACATTTTATTATTAATTTGTTGTAATAAAAACTATCGTATGTCTTTTCTAGTTTCAAACTATGTCTGTACTAAATTTCACATAAATCGGTTCAGTAGTTTAGGCTTGAAGAAAAACACAGACAGAGCTACTTTCGCATTTATCTATACATCTATACAAATAAATAAAATTGGAGTGTCTGTTTGTAATATTAAAATAACTGCTTCCTACTACATGCATATGAATGTTTAAACGGTACACATACTAAAATATTTTTTTTTACAATTTTTGTCTGTCTGTCTGTCTGTCTGTCTGTCTGTCTGTCTGTCTGTCTGTCTGTCTGTCTGTCTGTCTGTCTGTCTGTCTGTTTGTTCCGGCTAATCTCTGGAACGCCTGGACCGATTTGGACGGGACTTCCACTGGCAGACAGCTTATGTAATAAGGAGTAACATAGGCTACTTTTATTTTAGAAAAAATCTTTTATTTTAGAAAAATAAAGTTATGTTGAAATACTCCTGTGGAAGGTCATCATATTTTATGAGCATACAGTTGGAAGAATCTATACAATTCACCCCAATAATCGGGAATGTTATTATCTGAGGTTGTTATTAACATTTGTCAAAGGACCAACTTCTTTTGAAAGTCTCAAATGGGTGAATGGAATTTTACATCCTACATATCAAGCGGCATGTCTTGCTCTTGGCTTACTAGAAGGCGATAATCATTGGTTCGACACTTTAACAGATGCCAGTATAAGCAGCAACGCACCTAAATTACGAGAACTATTCGCCATTATTTTAGTTTTCTGCAATATCTCTAATCCCACAGAGATATGGGACAAGTTCAAGGATCATTTTACAGATGATTATGTAAGATACATGTATGAATGTAAGATGTACTACAAGATTGTGTATTTGTAGTATGGGACGAATGCACTATGGCAAACAAAATGTCTATAGAAGCCGTGAATAGGACGATGCAGGATATTAGAAGTAATAATCTATTATTTGGAGGAGTCGTATTCTTATTCGCTGGAGATTTTAGACAAATATTACTGGTTATAAGTAAGGGTACGCGAGCCGATGAAATTAACGCCTGTTTAAAACGTTCAGTACTTTGGAGACAGTGTAAAAAACTTAATTTAAAACAAAATATGAGAGCACATTCAGCTGATTCAGAATTTAGTACAATTCTTCTTGATGTTGGAGAGGGAAAGTGTCCAGAAGTGAATAGTAATCATGATATAGAACTACCTACCAGTCTTTGTCAGGTTGTGGCGGACACTGAAACTTTAATATATAGTATTTAAGATGATATTCACAATCTCAATATCAAAGAAGATTCGTGGTTGTGTGACAGATCAATTTTAGCGCCTACGAACGACCAGGTTACTGCGCTTAATCAGTGCATTTTAGATAAGCTAACAGGTGAATCACAAACATATCTTTCCATCAATACAGTTTGCAATCCGGATGAAGTGGTTAATTACCCAACAGAATTTTTAAACAGTATAATTGTGCCTGGTCTACCCTCCCACAAACTAGAACTTATTAAAGTTGTCGTGCCCATCATGCTATTGCGTAATTTAAATCCGCCGAAACTTTGCAATGGTACTAGGTTGCGAGTAGTGTCGTTGCAAAGAAACGTTATAGAAGGTCGTATAATATCCGGAGGCGGCAGAGGTGAAATAGTATTACCACGGATTCCTATAATACCATCAAATTTGCCATTTGAATTCAAAAGATTGCAATTCCCGATCAATGTCAGTTTTGCTATGACAATCAACAAGTCCCAAGGACAAACGTTAAGTAAAGCTGGTATAGATTTAACAAAAGGTTGCTTTACCCATGGGCAACTATACCTACGTGGCATGTTCACGTGCGAGGAATGCCAGTAGCGTTGTTGTTTTAGCCCAAGAAAATCGTACACCAAATATTGTATATAAAGAAATTTTCAATAAAGCTAATACAAAAAACTGAAAATAAATGATAACTAAAATAAAAAATAAACGAATTAATTTTTTTGTTAAATTCCACGCGGACGAAGTCGCGGGCACAGCTAGTAATATATAAGTTTGGAAACATATTATTTTTTTGTAATTTAATTTAACAATGATGTGCCGTATCATCTATGTTGTTCTGTATTCTGAGCATCTATGCATGCATGACGTTAAATCATAAATGTTCCTGATTGTTTGTATCAAAGAGTATGTAACCACTGTTTGTATATCCTACTAAAAGACGTGAAGTATTTATGTGCAGCAAAGAAATTGGTTTTCCAAAGACTAATTATTGTTGTTTTATTCTGCCTGAATCATAAATCACCTTTTTGAAACTCCATTTTACTCAATATGCATAAAAATAATTCAGAAAAAAACAAATTGATATGGCGTGAGAAAGCGATCATTTAAAAAATATCTTTGATCAAATATATGCTTTTAAATGATCATACATATTATAGATATATAGCATAAAGTAGGTGCGTACAAATACTTGTAAAAGGTCAGCAAAACCCGCTAATTACTTACAGTAAGGGGACTGCTTATTTCCAATATGCACAAAAAGGTGGGGTATTCATTCTGTACACAGATTTCTAGCTCTCAGTCTCTAACCTAACATAAACCGGATCTATATGGCCTAAAAATCGGTAGGTACATAAGTAATTTACAAATTAGGTATCGGAGGCCGGTCTGCGTCGCTGGCGTTGTTTGAAAAATGAAATACATAATAATTTAGAGTTTAAAGTTGTGGCCATCAAATCAATGTATTGCCCATAGCACTAAGAGACATTAAATACCTTTAATCATTGAAGGAATTTTGGAAATCTAACCAGCGATTTCAAAAATTTCCCGTACATATACACTTATTTACCTCTTTATAATCGAAAAGGTAGTAAATAGGTAAATGGTTTTTGAATGTTGTGAAATTCAACATCTTGTAGTTTCTAAACTTCTCGTTGTTGAATGTCAATATATGGTTTGACAGTGACAGCGACAGTGACACTAATACAGGTTTTAATCCATGAAGCTGCTCTTCCGTTATTTTGTTTATTTGATTATTAACAACAAAATGGCATTATTGGTGCTGTGATTTTTGCCTTTAACTATTCCATTTTTGATCTGTTTTATGAATTGCGTATCTAATTTCCTAATAAGAAATGGTAATTTAAAAATTTTACCTAGGTACTATAATTTTAGATTCTCGTATAATAATAAATGTAAATATATGTTGTTTATTATATAGGAAGGGAGCTACATTGAAAGATACTCTTTTATTGGAGAATGGTACGATAACCAAGCCAGCCTTGTTCGCCGGTTCAATGTATTTTATTATCCTACTGACGAAACGTTAGAAATGTTTGACATAAAAAATCGGAAGACTTTTGTGAGGAGAGTAAAAGTTAATGGAATCAACCTGCAAAGCTTTTACATTGGTTGTACTCTTTATATATTGGGCCGCCTTATAAAAATTGTAGATTTTGCTTGTGAAAATACTAAAATGAAATTGCAGAGGGAAATGCAGCTGTGAGTAAAATACTAATAAGAAATATAATATAATATGTATTTATTTAGCCGCATTTACGCTATTTTGTTTTTATATTTTTACAGGACATTTGCAGTAATTAAACCAATCCCTACTACAGTAGTTGGCAAAATATTGTCTCACTTTCATGAACATGGGCTCCGTGTATCTAAGATGAAGAAAGCACGGCTAAGATCTGAAGATGTTGAATTTTTATATCGCCATCAACTTTCGGATCCTACTTTTCCGTAAGTTTCTGAGGCATGTAATGATTAAAAAAAAGTTATAATCAAAGCTAAAACCATTTAATTTGTTGATGTTTTAAAATTGTGACTTACAATACATATGTAATGAAAACATACTTTCACTTGTATTATAAATAAAATTATAAGTCTTATCTACTTGTAAATAAAATATAAACTAACTAAGGTAGCAACACTAAAGGATTTACAATTCAAAATAATACATTTTGAATTTTAAATCCTTCTTCTAATAAATAAATAAATGTATGATCCAGTGCCTTAAAATCGAATTGATTTATCATTAATTAACTACATTTTTTTATTTATGTTAGTGTCACATTATTCACTGCAGTATACTTTTTACAACTTGTTATTTTTAAAAAGTTATTCTAAGTGAAATTGAAACCATTCTAGGTTTTTGCTAGATCACCTTACAAACCAACTAGTTTTTGGATTGGAGCTTGTTGGAAGAGATGCACATGCTAGATGCTTGGAACTGTTGGGACACCAAGATCCACTAAAAGCTGCAACTGGCACTATAAGAGCTCTCTATGGATCTGATCCTGTTAGAAACTGTGTTCATACATCAGCGAGTTCTCAGGATGCCATAGTTGTAAGTTTTAGTCACCTATTGTCTGATTTATATTTGGTTCAATAACTTAGCATTGTATAGCTTTGTAATTTTTTGTAATATACTCTGTGTGTGTTTTGGGTCCCTCAATTTTGTTAGCAAGTAAATTTTTGTATGGGATTTGTGGGCAAATAAGTTGATGGATTACCTGGTGGTAAGCAATCGGCGCCGCCCATGGGCATCCGCAACTCCAAAGGAGTTACGAGTGCTTTGCCGGCCTTTTGGGGATAAGGGTTTTGGACATTTAAGGATTGGAAAGAGATGGGGAGAGGGAGAGATATTGGGGCTCCAGTAACCCTTACACGGCGAAAGACAATGTTGTGGTTGTTTCACGCCGGTTTTCTGTGAGGCCTCCTGTAGGAGGAGAATTGGTAGGCTTGACCATATGTGACGAATCTTGGCTATCCCAGACTTAAAAAAGATATTGGAAGTTATGGGGAACCTATGAAAAGAGACTGAACACCAGAGTTATGATAGAATTTCTAACTGGTAATACAGCAGTAATTCAATGTTTCAGTGTACAAAGCATACCCATAAAATTGGAGCTTTTGTTGAAAATTAAGCTGATTTACTTTTAATTTAATTCAAAACAGGATATTGACTACTTCTTCCCTCCACCGCCAATGCGATCAGTGCGACTGAGACTGACTGCAACCTTATCTAACTGCACTCTTTGCATAGTCAAGCCACATGCAGTTCGTGAGGGTAAGCTTGGACTAGCTCTGGAAGCTATTGATGAAGGAGGGTTTGATGTAACAGCTCTCAACATGGTCATAGTGGAGAATATCAATGCGGCGGAGTTCTATGAAGTGTATAAGGGAATTGTACCAGAATACAAGGTAAGTTTTGATACATCTGTCCTACAATAATAGTTGCAATGTTGTCGTAACTAGTAAAACACGCCTGGTAAGTTTAGTATGGATTGATGAAGGTTTTTGTATGTCGAACGAGCAGATAGATTACCTGATGGTAAGCAATCAGCGCCGCTCATGGACACCCGCAACGGAGGAGTTACGAGTGCGTGGCCGACCTTTTAGGGATTAGGGATTTGGAGATTTGGGGATTGGGGGAGGGGAAGGATTGGGCCTCCGGTAATCTCACTCACACGGCGAAACACAACGCTGTGGTTGTTTCACGCCGGTTTTCTGTGAAGCCGTGGTATCAATCCGGTCGAGCCGACCCATTCGTGCCGAAGCATGGCTCTCCCACACTTTGTTGTTATTTTTTCACATTTCATGTAAAAACTATGGAATGGATCTGCATAAATTTTAATAAAGGTTAAGGAGCCCGCTTCTGATACATGAGGGTGTGGGTTCGAAACCTGGCAAGTACCAATGTGACTTTTTCCGAGTTATATGTACTTTCTATCATTATTTAGACACCACTGACATATGGTGAAGGTAAACATCGTGAGGGGACTTATAATTTCTAATTATAAGTTTGAAATCGCCAACCCGCATTGAGCAAGTGTGGTGATTAACGCTAACCTTGCTATGCTAACCTTCTCCGTATGGGAAGAGGCCTTTGCTCAGTAGTACTTATAGCTTTACTAATAGGATGATGATGATGATGATGATGATGACACAGATAGGTTATTTTTAACTCTGGTAACAACAATAAAAGGCTAAAATTTTGGGCTTATAAAACTCTTTAATTTTGGTGTGTTAAAAATTTTTCTATTTATTTTCAGGGTATGGTGGAAGAACTTTCGAGTGGGCCTTGTGTAGCAATGGAAATAGTGTCCAAAGACAAAACTGTCAATACTGCTGTTGAGTTCAGAAAGCTGGTAGGACCAGCCGATCCGGTACGAACTTGTTGTTAAATATTTCAAATTGTGTTTATTTAATATTCGAAATCATGAATAGGTATTAAAGGCGAGTTTTATAAGCCTAATCCAAATCTCAATAAGAGTATTCCCTATATTGAACAGAGCCCTTTTTTGTGAGGGGAAAATCATTGAATGGCGTCTCTCGTCTCTCACCCATGCTGAGGTCAGGGGGAGTGTCAGACTCTTACTGACTAAATCCCCTCAATGCGGTACTTTATTGCGCTTGCCATGCAAATATTAAGTAGAACACAATAGACTGACTGATTTGTCTGGCATTAGTAATATAGGAAGGTTCAACCGTCATAAAACTGGAAGTACAATAAGTAAAATATGAAAAGCACTCTGTCAGGTCATTTTGATTCAAATAGTCTTCTGAAATTGTATGATACTTGTTTACAGGAAGTAGCCAGATTGTTGCGTCCTTATACGTTGAGGGCGAAGCTTGGGAATACTAAAGTCCAGAACGCGATCCACTGCAGTGATCTAGCTGAAGACGGATTACTCGAAGTAGAATACTTCTTCAAGATATTAGATTTGTAATAAGGCTGATGTTTGCCTGGTTTCTGTTTGTTTACTTAACGTGAATTAATGTGTGATTGAGTGAAATGTTTATGCATTTGTGAAACATATATGTATGTAGTAATTTGCACCTTAATGCACAGATAGAGCACGTTAATTGAGAAATTATTGTGTGAATTAATATGTTGTAGGCTATTCTGAGTTGTTAGTATCATACTGTGCCTCGAATCTCTAAAGACTACATTGAAAGACGTTTAAAATTAATACGACTATAAAAAATGAATCTAACATACCTACTTGCAATAAAACTACCTAGGACATGTAAAATGATAACATAGATTTACTCATCATTTTATTTTTTTGCTTATGATTTCACCATGTTGAGTTTAAAATAACACAACTTGATGATAGAAGTGGGATGTGGGAATGAAATGAAATGAAACGGGAATGAAATATTTCAACAGTATTTTATAAATCCGAGAGACTTTGCGATATCATTTAAATAAAAAGTATGTAATTCATCCTGCAATAATTTGCCAAAGATATAGAAAAATCTAGAATTTTTATGTGTTACTGCTCAAAGATTTCGATACATATGCTATATTCCTCTCACTTTCAAGTTTGTAATCCTACAACGCAACCCTACGACCTCGTTACATTCAATCGAGATGTTAGATATTATACAATCACGAGTGTGCCACTGGGAGTGCACGGCAAGTACTCATGTTATAAATAATAAGTATTATTTTATTATTACATATTTCTTGTGTATGTCTATTGTCAATACTCACTTATGATACGCTTATATGTGCATTTCTTTATTTTATTGTCTTATTCCGTTTACGGGTGTGCAGTAGTTCTTGGCTAGTAACGAGATGTTCTGGCGGGTGTGTGCTCCACCATTGAGTGTTTCATTGCCATATTCGTCGGAACAATTCGATAAACAAGACTGATAACAATAAGTGGTTCACGAAACCAGAACCATTTTATTTGCTTTCAAAATCGAAATAAGTAAAATATAATTTTGCAATCTTTCTGTTTTATTTCAATGTATACCTCTATACAATAAAATCATATTTGTCCACAAATAAATTATTATTGTAGGTTTACAATAAAATGGAACACGACTGGTCGTCGTGCTTTAACAGGCACCTAAACCCTTTGTTGCTAACCCAACTGTCGGCGATCAAATCACTGTAAGGTTTTATCGATGCTCTGATTAGACTTCATGCGAAACCGAAAAAAATTTAGGTTCTTATGCATGTCAATATAAAGTTTACTGGCTATGTTCATTATGCATTATGCAATTTCAAACTTTGTTACCTTCTATTAGAAGTCTCTGATATAGTATTACATATACTGTTCTGATACTCCTAGGTATAGCATAGTTGGCTTTCCGGTACTAAAGAATATTTTGATATTCAAGGTCTATGACATGTGTCTATAACATTGACGCTGACGTTACGATCATGGTTAGACTTCAGGGTTCTACACGACCAATAGGTTGGTCGTGCATTTGTTCAACCTACATGTACCTAGATAATTATGCTCGGTATTATTATTGCCTGCGTATCACCTACCACATATTGCATTCACATCTCTGCACTACCAAAAGGATGACTGGCAGAAAATGCTTCTAGCATATAAGTCCTCCAATAAGCAATATACTTAGTACCTACCCATCTATACTTATAAAGATTATAAAAAAAGTTAGTAGTATTTGTTTATGCATTAAGTGGGCAAACAAACAGTCGGATTACCGAATGGTAAGTAACCGCAAGGACACACGTAATACCAAAGATTAAGGTACAAGTCCTTTGCCGCCCTCTTATGAGCTGTTAGGGATTTGAGGATCTGGGATATTGGTAATAGGTGCATCGGTAACAAAACTCATTACTTACTACAAAAAAAAAAAAAAACCAATAGGTCCTCGTTCTCGTAGTCTGGCCGTGCTGTATTGCATTTGCGATCACCTTCCTACAGAAATAGGTATCGCAATAGACATCGAGGTGAGTATGAAAAAAATGATTGTTTTTCTTCAAAATTTATTTATTTTCTAAGAGTGAGTTTCAAGTTACCTAAATAATGTCAAGTGTATTTCGTGTTTGTATATTTATGTAAGAAGTAAGTAGGTTCGTAGTAGTACCTAGTACTACACTGTAGTAGGTAGTAATTTTCTCAGTTAATTCACGTGAATTGGTAAGTAATTTTTTCAATAAGTTCAGCGTGTCTCACTATTGAAGAGCACATGAGTATATTATGTTACACTTTTGAGTGTGTCATTGCATTCGGGGTCTGCGAGGAATAACAATTTGGGTATGAAAAAAGTTTCGTATAGGAATAAAAGTCGCAAGGCGCGAGTTAGAGAGACTGCATGACTGGTGCAGCAGTAGCCAATCGCTCATTAATTACGCCAACCGTGCTGCAACTAGTCATGATATAGGTACCTATTTATATTTTTATGGGTAGACCTGAAGTGGTAGTTAGATAGACAGGTAAGTATTTTCTTGTACCAACCAACCATACGAAAAACGAGGAAATTATGCAAATTAAAAATATAATGTTTAGGTACCTATGTACTTTCCTAGATAAACGACACTACTTAAATCATATTTTACTAATTTCCATTCGTAAGTTCAAAGGACGACGTAATACTTAGTGCTATTTAGTATTTAGTAGCATCGACATCATGTTCTAAGTAGCGTTTGCCTTTCACCGCGTAGGTAGAGACATGGAGATGTTATTGGTACCTTGGTATTGTAGAACGTAATGCCGTATGAATGGCGTATGAGAGGGGACACGTATAGGGCTGCGCCAGTGCTGCGTAAACTTTTCGGCTCGCGGTCGCGTATGCGCAACGATTCCTAAGTCGCGCGCGGCACTGATACTGCCTTCTCTATCCTCCGTAAAATAAAGTCAATCGCGCAAGGATCAAAATACTTTTTGTGCTAATAAACAAAAAAAATATATAGCAGTGACAATATATTCGATCGACGAGTTAACGACGACATTTACCTACCTTCTGTGGATTTTCAGCATTTCCTGATAAGTTTTTTATTTGCAACGGCGGAGTACACGTGAAAATAGGTTTGTTGTACCTCATACTTTTGACTAAAATCTTGAAAAAAAAAAACAAAGATTACCTAATATCTTATTGTAGATATTGTTTTATTTATTGTATTGCATTATACTTAGGTATTCCTTTATATTATTATTAGTCTATCATAATGGCTTTCTTTTATAAATACTTCTACGACTAGGAATAGGAACCTAATAAAATTAAGTCAGTGAAAAAAAAGTTCAATTGTATAATAGAGTTTCGTATTCTCTGAAAAAGTACCTACCTATCGCATAAAATTTTGAGACATGCTTTTGAGTAACACATTATAATATAATTATCTTTAGATACTACTTAATATTATAAAGCTGTAGAGGTTTTTTGATGGAACGAGCTAATCTCCGGAAGTACTGCTTCGAATTTAACGATTCTTTTAGTGTTTGTTAGTCCATTTATCAAGGAAGGCTATAGGCTAAAGCTAGCTAGCTTAGGTACTTAGGTATACTTAATTGTTTTATAACTGAATTGGTGTAAGTAATTAATTTTCGTATACTATTAGTAGGTACCTACTTGGCAATTGTTCTTGACTGTAATCCATTCCGAGTACTTACCACTAAGGTACCTACATTATAAATAGGTACCTAGGTAAATTATAAATGATTTCTACACAATATATTCTAACAAAATATAGGTTATTATTTATTTCTGGAACCTATTCATTATCATTTAAGTTTTTTTTTGTGAGGGGAAAATCATTAAATGACTTCTCCCGCCCAGGGCCGGGTGAGAGCTTCAGACTCTTACTGACTAAAAAAACCCCCTGTTCCTTCTCCTGCTCTGGGCCGAGGTCGCGGTGCCTCATTGCGCCTACCCCGCAACCCCGGCTGAACATCAGCCCTATAGAGCCCCATCTGTGGTGGTCTATTGGCTCTTTGAGGCGCGCGCAGAACACTACGCGCCCTACGCTCGGGCCTGGTTCTGGTCGGGCGGCGAGCTGCCCTTACTCGCCTTTGCGAGCATAACTGCTTCACAGAAGGAGGAGACGGCGTCCCAGTTCCTCTCACTCTGCACCATGGCCTCGACTAAGGCCGGGCGCGAGAGGTCGCCGCCGCCGATCACTTCCCTGAGGACACGGCGGTGCTCAGCCCAGGCAGGACATACCGCCACCGTATCCTCTAGCTGGTCCTCGCAATGACGACATTCGGGCGTTTCCTCCCACTGGATCCGAAACAGGAACCTACCGAAGCTGTCGTGCCCGGTAAGGACCTGCGTCAGGCGGAAGGTGAGGACGCCGTGGCGTCTCTCAAGCCAATCCTCAAAGAGGGGCCTTATCGCTGCTATAATAGCGTGCCCGGCCCTCGGTTGCGATAGTCGTTGTTTCCACTCTGGCCTTACCTATTGCATATATGCTTATGGTTGACGTGGTGGTTGGGAGACCGGCTTCGATTCCAAAACCGAAAAAATCCTTAATAAAAAAAAAAACTAGAATTTGCGGCTTGTGACATTCCGTGCTCGCTTTAAAGAGCTCGCCACCAGACTACTACAGATGATTTTCCGCGGCTCCACTTGGAGCTGGAGGAGAGTCTGATATTCCCTCTCGGACGGTAGTCTTTGGATCCATTTCCACTGCACATTAATACCTAATAGATATCTATAATCACAAAACATTTTAACCATTTATGTTTTCAATCATTTTGATCTTATATTTATCAAACAATATGACTAATAATTTTGAGAACGATGGGAACGGCCTTTTAAAAGTCGATTGGACTAAGTACGTATTGACAATGTACTGAGGTAGAGGTCTGTACCTGTACAATAAGCCTAAAGTAAAAGGACACTAGTACACTCAAGTGGATAGAAGGCTTAGTTTACCAAAACTTCTTAAAGTTTTCACCAAATAATTGATATTGATCAATTATTTGGTCAACATTTTAAGAAGTTTTGGTAATTGATATTATAGATGTTCTGGCAAACTGTTATGCCTTTAAAAATAGTAACTTAATAATTATGTTTCCCGTAGGGCCTTTAGGTTTGGATCTCTGTAGACCTTTCCCTTTTGTTTTAAGCTTGTCTAAATCTAGAAGTAGATAAGTACTTACCTACTTCTATTTTTTTTTCTTGTGCTCAAGACAAATCTAGGTTGCATAAAAAGTAGAATTTTATGTTATGAGAACTAGAGAATGATCGCATCTCTCTTCTTATTGTTTCCTCGTTACGCACGTAGCGGGAGAATGAATCAGTTATGTATTTATTCTCAAAGATATGGATGAAGTAAATAAACAATAAAACGTGCCTGCATACCTCGTTGTAACATTGTTAATTCTACAATAATGTCGACAATAAGTTAGATAAGTACTTCATCGCCGAATACAATTTTATTTTTTAATAAATTGCAAGTAACTTCTTGCTTTTCGATCAAACGATTTTTAGAATCGAGGCTAAAAAGCACTTTGGCACTATTTCAACGGAATGTAGATATCGAGGTTTAAATATACGTGGGAGGTTCTGATGTGCAGAGCCGAGAAGTAAGTAGTTTAGGGGTTGACAGAAAAGTAAGTAGGCTCGTAACTCAGACTAATGTATATAAGTACCTAACCAATGGTGACAATAATACAGATACCAAGCCAACTTACTTTGACTGCACGTTTGGTGCGGTGGCTGGGCAACTGGCTGCCGTGCAACGTATCGCGGGTTCGATTCCCGCACGGAACAACTGTTTGTGTGATCCACAAATTGTTGTTCCGGGTCTGGGTGTCATGTGTATGTGAAATTGTATGTTTGTAACCGCACCCGCGACACAGGAGAAAATCCTAATGTGGGGCAACGTTTTGTTTAAAAAAAAAAAAAAAAAACTTTGTCACAGACAAAAATACAGACCATCTAACTGAAGGCTAAATAGTTTATGAGGAGTATAATTTTGAAAAGCGAGCTTATAGCGAGGCTCATTGTTGATGTCGATCTCCACCGGGACGTGCCGTCGCTTTGTGAGAGCTCCAGTATCTACACCATAAAGGGATGGTGATGGTTTTGGTGTTAAGGACTCTTTAGACTTGCTCCGCAAAAAACCAGGCGACTTTTGAAGGTCACTTCCTTCAGAAGACTTCTTACCGTAATAAAGAGAAAGGTTAGTGTAGGGCAGTAACATTGTGTTGTTGATGAAAAATTTCTACGTATTTGTGCTGTTAGGTACTTGTTGATACAATTCAAACAATAGATGTATACGGAATCATTCTTTTTAGTTTAGGTGGAATTATTATTCGAACGTGCAAACGCAGACTAGAATTACTTGGTACAGTGTCCTAGTGTATTCATGAGTAAAAATTTAATTGTGATTAAAATAATTGAAATGCAAAAATCAATAATTTGTTTGTCCGCACAATATAATTATAAAATTTTGGCACGATAAAATATTCAAAAGATTTTATGAATAAGTAAGTGCAGAGCCCAAATCAAGAAGCCGCAAATCGTGACTCGCCGAGGTTGAAGCATGGACAAACGATTTCCCTGATGAACCACAGCAGGGCGATGATTCGTATATTCTGCAATTGTTAGTAAGCACTCGTAGCCGTAGGTGGGTAGGTACTCATCTCGTCAAATTCATTTAACAGTTAAGTTGTATGAGGTACATCTCATTGGCTAAGAACCTTTTGCATTTGGGCAGAGCATTTATTTCGCATCGAATCACTGTGTTGGGAAGACCTTTCGTTGCCTTACGGGCAGTCACTGGCTAGTTAATACAGAACTCACACAAGATAATTTTGAAAACGACCAATGATTGTAGTATATAAAATCATTGACATATAAAGGACATAGTCATAACTGTCTTATCTATTTTCTTGTGATAAATCGTCACAAGTAGCCGTTGATGTGTGTCTCCTAGATGACACCTTAGCAAGGACATTGCTTCCATAAAACAGCATAGTTATTTGTTGGCTATATTATATATATATTTCTTTTCACGTCTCATACGGGACTTGAAACATACAATTTGTGGAAATTATATATATTGCAATTATTGTGTTATTATGGCCTAGCAATGTGAATTAAACACGTGATCCTGAATTACCTGTTATAAATAATATGTAGAAAAGTAAATTAACTCAGTAAGAGGAATTCATTTCTTCAAGTCACCTATCTAAGTAGGTAATCGATATTTGTTATTTTCTTTATTTACGAGTTTCGGTTATGTAAAAGGTTTATAGTATTTTAACGGTCGAGTTTTTTATTGTTTAATTATAACGCGAATTAAATGACAATAAATCATTTCAACATTCAGTTAAATTGCTGGTACCTAGGTAGGTATAGTTAAGATAAAACTTTCTTTAAATAATAAGTTGATCTTATTAAAAATCTTATCGTTGTTGTATGTTTGTCTACGCACTTATGCATGAACTAAGAGTATACATATTTACATTTCTAGACTATTATAAAACTATTACCTATATAAAATTATAATTATTACCTATATCAATATCAATTACTGTAGTTATCTGGCATGTCATATTTATGATTACGAAATTATAAGGAGGCAATCGTGAACAGCGAATGTCGTGTCGTCCTCAAGCATACCATTACCACCATTCTACGAGTAAATGTTTATATACATTATAGGTAGGTTTCAAGGACTATGACTTTAATAAGTGAAGTGGAATAAATGTAAAAAACTGCTAAATCATAACCTTGTCTCATCAGGCAAAGAGGTTCAAATTCAAATTCAAATCAACAAACGAAAAAAAGTAGAGGCTATGTACCATAGACAAGAAGTAGGTTTGTAAATACCGATTACAACTTCAAAACTTATGTACCTAGTACTTTATTCGTTCTTAAAGTCATAATAAGAGTAATGAGTTAGGAAAGTAATCAAATCATTAACCGTGACTTAGAATGCGTTTGTTGATTGTTTACAAATGATAACACATGTAGACGCACTATGTAGGTATGCACGCTTTTATAATATTAAGCGATATGACGAGCTGTGATTCTAAGTTACGACTTCGTTTTTGAGAAAATATTGCACATACCGAGGTCGCAGAGCTAGTAACAGAACTTGTTTGGACTTTTGCGATATATACAGCAACGTAACAAGTTATCTAAACTAATATTATAAAGAGGTAAAAATTGAAAGTTTGTATGTAGGGGGTAACCTTTGGAAACGCTGGGCGGATTTCCTTGCGCTGATAGATAGCTACAATGTTTCTGAGTGCTACAAAACATCACGCTACGAGCTGTAGGTGCCGAGCAGCGGGTGAAACCGCGCGAGAGTAGCTAGTTTCAAATACGTTTGATGATAGGATGATGATTGATTAGATACATAAAATTAATTATGAATTACGTAGGTACCTACTTAAATGCGAAATTGAGTTTGTTTGTTTACTATGCAAATTGTGAGGGCATGACGTGTTATATAGAAATGTGGTCAAATTATTCCTTATTTTTTATCTATATTACTATTATCTATCAACTTAGAGCAAATAATTTTTAACTATCATATCGATTAGTCACGTGTCAACATTAACGGGTCCACATACATTTTCTACAGCTTTAATGAGATATATTTAAGTCAATCTGGCTAAGTAAGCATTACTCCGACTTTTTTTAATTGAATGGGGCACCGCGACCTCGGCCCAGACTTTTTAGTCGGTAAGAGTCTGACACTCTCTCTCGCCTTACCCTGGGCGAAGAAGTCATTAGATGATTATCCCCTGTCAAAAAACCGCTCCGACTAAGTTCCCCGACACTTGCAAGTAACATTTGGGGAAGTAGTGTGAAATTTAGAACACATTATATTGACTAATAATTATATCGTCAGTCCATTGTACCCGCTGACAGTATCACGTTGCATGTTAACATTGCGAAACAACTGCCTTATCTTTGTCAAAATATTTGTTTTGTGATTCTATGACATTATTTTATGCTAGAGAACATGATTTTTAAAGGAAACTGTACAGTAGCAGTGTTACTACAAAATCGTAGCGAAATTAGGTTACTTATTTGTAAAGAAGTTAGTTTACATCCTAAGGTTTAAGTTGTAACTTTAAAGTGTACAATTATAGTTCATAATTGATTGATAAGACTAGAATTTTGAATACGGTGCAAACGAATTAATAATTTGTCATTGTCATTCATTACAATGGAAAAAGGACTATTAAATCTCATTAACGGAGAAAAAGTGGAGTGCAAGTGGTCATCGATTTAATCAATTATGTAGGTATGTCATAGGTAAAATCTAATCGTATACAAATATATAAAACTAAAGAGTTTGTTCGCTTGAACGCCTAAGACTACCGGTTCAAGTGAGTGATCAACCCTTTTTGTTACTAATAGTCTATTTACCTACCAAGAAAGGGTATAAAACATCATATTACGATAAATAGGAGCTAACCAGAAGATAAAACCAAGCAGAAGTGCCTAGCTAGTGTTTTGTACACTGTTTACAGGAAATTTTCTGAGTTTATTCCCTTAAAAATGTTGTATCTAAGCGCAAGCGTTACCTATTAGTATTCCTAGCTCTTTCGTGTTTGAATCCGGTATAATTAGCTTATGTACTATTTTATGATGAGAATATTAATATTACATACTTCATCTTATGAAAGAATATGTGCTTTATTGGAGGGTGGTTCACCAGTACGGAGGTGGCTAGGAAATAAGTAAAAGTATGGGCATAGAAACAGACACGACCTAGTCATGGAAATCTTACTACTCTTATCTAACTCATATTATAAATGCGAAAGTTTTTTTTACGATGTACGTGTGTTTGGATGTTTGTTACTCAATACCGCTAAAACGGCTGGACGAATCTGGATGAATTTGGCACGGGTATAGGATACATTCCGGAATAGGACATAGGCTACTTTTTTATATAGGATATAGGTACATGGGCAAAGCCGCAGGCGGAAGCTAGTAGATAATATAATTAATTAGTGCATCAACTGAAGATCGGATGTATTATGGCTGCATGTTGCGTTTATGGGTGCCTAGTGCCCATTGCTTATATTTTGTTACGAATGAGCCATTGTATTCAACCATTGTTTGCCAACCGGGTTAACTGTAAGTAACTGTGCTTATAACTTTACCACATCGTGTTAGGTGTGTCGCAGAGATATCAATCTCTCATTAAATTTTTTATATCGATGAGAAGTGTGTCTGTAAATTTTTTATAGTGTACTACTTAGTTAGACAGAGCCTGGACACATTTGCATATCTACAATTATAAGACAGATGACCGAAAAATAAATTAATAACTTGTGTGACGAATCATATGACGAAGATTTAGTGATAAAATGATATCAGACAGTGGGAAATCGGAAATAAGATTAATAAAAACGGGAATAAGGAGGAAAAGAGATGAATACCAGCATTGAAGTATGTTTTAGAACAACGTTTCAAAGTATGAATGTACCCAACATTAAACTTATAGAAGGAAAAAAAGCGAAATTGGTTCTTAATTTTTTTTTTCGAGGAGAGACAATTCTCAAATAACTTTTCCAGCATTGTATTGGGTGAGGGGGCGTGTAACTTTTACTGACATTAACCTCCCAGTTCCTTCTCCTACTTCAAGCCAGGCCGCGGTATTTCTTTGCGTTTGCAACTACAAAAGTAGTATGCGTGTATTAACACAAGTGTTGCCAATTTGTTATGGATGGAACTATAACTTTTGTCACTTATGTTCAGGCTTTACTAATGAGTATTTCTTTTATGACTAATATTTTTTAAATATTTACAGTTATTAACTTATTACCTATCCGTAATACCGATGCTTGGTTGTTTACATTTAAGCATTTAAATACTCGAAACATACCGTTTTATTAGGGAGGTATTAAAAAGAAAATGTTATTACTTATACAAGTACTAGAATTTCAGTGTTAGTTTTCTGATAACATACGACGTTTGAACTGGCGATAGCAGTTTCGTACTTGCACGAACGGTCGTAAATCTATCTCATTTCCTTTGATTTTATTGACTTTAATATCGATAGTTCTAATCGATTTAAATATCTATAACGTGTCTCTTAAGGTATTTAAATAACATGTTTTTATTGTTACAGGAACTTATCAAGCACCCATCTTCCATGCCTCAGGAACATCGAGAGATAAGCGTACATGAGGGAGGCTGGGTGAACAGACACTTCCCCACCTAGTGCAAGCTGACATCCAGTGTGGAAACACACAAATACAAATTAGTTTAAAGATATAGTTATAAGCTACCAAAATGCAGTTCATACGTTCCTTTTTCAAGCGAATAACAGATGATCTCAAACAGAAGAAATTAATTCCATTAAAAATATTGTTTTTCGTACATGCGTCAAGTAAGTATCTCTCTATTGATAATTGTATATACTCTTTTTTGGTTTTGTTTATTTAAATGCGGCCTTGGAAACCCACATTTTTTAATTCTTGATGGCCATTTTGAGTAGTTTTTTTTCTGAAACCGCAAGCGTACTTCCCCATACCACTAACTTTGTAAAATTTAAATAACATGGTAAAGAGTTGCAAAAAAATCGCGCTTCTATTTATGTACTTGAATTTTGACTGATGTATGCCAATCAGTGGAATAAACTGAAGTAATTTGAAATGTTATTATTCAATTTTTGGAGGATATGAACATTAAAATGTTTGTATCGCGGAAACATTGCCAACCTTAAATAATCTACGCAGCGAGTCGTACGAGATTTTTATTGATTACTACAAGTACGACATTCATAGTTAGGTACTATATGTACCTCTTCTTCGTTAAACTATTAAGATAAATCGATGTATTTTCTTTCGAAATATATACCTATGTTTTTTAGAATAAGTGCTACAAGAAATTTGTATGATTATGTAGTAGATCGATTTAGTACCACCGACCAGATTTGCAATATAATACGAGTAGTGATAAGGTTTGGTCGATACCCACGTAAACCCAATTATCAGTTTCAAAGATCCAACCTATCTAAGCTTAACACGACTTCTAGTTGACTTGATGTTTAATGGAACTTGCATGCTGAAATTACCGATGGATGACTGTTGATATTATATTCATGGTTGTCAGGCTTGGCGTGTAATTAATATTGCAGAGTTAATTAAGTGTAGGTAGAGCTTATAATAACATAAATAAGTGACTATCAAGCCTCCAATGTTTCTGTAGTCTACTATGACTACGATAATCGTAAACGTGACCTTTGAGGTAGGACTTAAGAGTGAGTTTCGAATGGGAACTGCCTGGAGGCCGGGAAAAAAGTGTTTTATTTTAAAGCCTGAGAAAGACTTCAATAAATTCGCCTATAATTTGCGGGAATTGAAAAAGTGACTGCAGAACTGAAGATGACCTTTCTGGGATTCTATTGTTGGTTTGTTTTTGTAGGTAGATATCAAATACTAGAAGTAGGTATAGTTATCCTCATGTATTTTTGCATTGTACATTTTGGTTTTAATCTGTAAAGTTTTGTATGTACCTGATGACAGAGAAAAAAAATAATGGTTATTACTTAAAAAAATCCTATTGTTTTAAAATATTGTTGGTTAAAAAGCTATTTATATAACAAAAGATATCATATGATAACGTTAAATTTTTTTAAGTATATCTGTCTTATAATTGTAGATACACTTTATCAAATAATGATTCTTAATGAGGAATGATCTTAGACTGGTACACCAGTCTTAGATTGCTATACAACTTAAACATCATCATCACCATCAACATCTTCATCTACTTTTTAGGGGGAGTTTACCCTAATCTCTACGCTTTCAGAGGCTTCATTATTGCAGTCACTTAAGTTACCTTAATGTTAGAAGAGTTTAAATATCGACGGAAAATTGGTTAAAGGTTAGCTTCGATCCCCATTTTCTAAAACGGCCTCCAACGGAGACACATATTCAACAATTACCCAAGTTCAGCACAAAAAAACCCTAATTGTCAGATAGACAAACCATGAAGGTTAAGCTAAGAGATCTCCATCTATTTTCGTATTAAAAGCATGATATTTTGCAGCTCTGTTCGTGCTGTACCCGTACCTGACTATCCACATGAGGGAGCTGGGCATCAATGTGGAGGAGACGGCCATCATGTCGGCGGTGACGCCAGTCGTTTCCATCGTCATGCCACCGTTGGCTGGTATGCTCGCCGATAAAATTGGCAATTTTAGAGTAAGTGTACACAAGATTTAAGCAATGTCTCGTATCTAATAAAAAATGTGCGAAATTCGTAAATTTTTCATAGGTATAGTCTGTAAAACAACTACATATTCCATTGTATTTCTCAGTATCTCTCAGTACTCGGACATTTAACTATGCGTGATAGAAAAGCTAGATATGTAAAAAAACGGACCATGAATATCAAAGATTAGCGTTTGTTCAAATCGTAGCGACAGATTAGATTTTCTAATTAAGTTTCATAAAGAATAGGATCTTTCAAAACTAGATATGGAGACGACAAGGAGACGACCTATTTCAAAAGATCAAGTCTCAAGTAAAAAGTTTTATTCCTTAGGGATATATAGATACCTACTGAACAAATTCAGTCTCAAAGCCACTGTTCTACAAAGCACGTCTAAATTGAAAACTCAATAGAACCCTTTTTACCCCTTAGTCTTTGTTAATAAAAAAGGTCTCAGTACTAAACTAAATATTTTAAAAAATAAAACTTAAATTTGAAGGCTGTAATTAGGTTTAGTTCAGACATATTCCCCCTTATTACAAAACAAGATTTATCTTTAGTCCAGGTTTAAACCATTGAGTCGGGTTTTGAATTTTGAATCTTATTGTCATCTACCCTCAATTCGAAATACAAAAACAGGCTCAATGGTTTAGTCCTAGACTAAAGTAAAACCTTGTTTTGTAATAAGGGCGAATATGTTTGGTTTGTTAAGTACTTGTGTTGTCACGAATTCTTTTAGGATCAAGAAATGAACCTACCCAATTTGTCAGTACGGCCTCGTTTACGCAAACGCGGGGCATCGCGCAGCGTGTCGAGTGTTTGTCGTACATTACGGCAATAGAAAGCGTCATCGTCCATGCAAATACAAACAAATGAGCAATGTATGACGGACAGCCAGATGAGCCTCGCAACGTGCCGCGCAAAATGAATCCTCATTGGTATTTCATCCTTGTCAAGAATCCGGTACCTGTTATATGGTTATTTACTAGTGGTTACGAGTAATCATAAACTCATTAATATGTTCCTTACTAAAGATAAAGGCAAACGAGAAAGGGAAGGTACCTACGCATCACACAAAATAATTTAATTAATTTAGTAAAGTAGGTACATCAGGTAGTGCTGATCTTGACAGTCTGACAAACATTTTAGTTCCTTAAACCGTTCATCTCTAACAGCTGTTATTTTTCCATAGATAAAAAGCTCTTTAGTGCGTACATATTTACATTAAGTGTGAACCTAATTAGGTAATGAATTAACTTAAATACCACAGTTTTAGACAAAGCTATTTAGAGATAAAACAGAACAGTCAATTCATGATATGGGACCCGTGGGACCCATAATAGTCACACTTCGTTGAAAAGAGTGATTTCAGTAACCACTATAGGTATACCTACAGTAGTGTAGGAAGTGAAATATTAACCAGCCTACTATTATTAAATGATGACGTGGAGATGACAACTACATTAGGAGCCATCATGCAGTGATATCTCAATGTCGTTTTAATGCTGAGCGGTTCCAAATTTTTAATGAGCCCGCAAAATCTGTCATACATATTCACTGTTATGATGATATGTAGATTTAATTAGGTCTGACTAACATAGTTCAGTCAAATGCTAATCTAAACGCCCACGGTAGCCAATTTTAGTGGGTGGCCCTAGCTGTATTGAATCTCATGAAATATAAGTAGACGTAGATGAAGCCCTATTACAGCCAGTAATCGTCAGATAATTCTAGGCATATTTGAAACTCATGGTTTGTTAATTGATATGTTAGACAGATAATTGCCCACTAGCATTAACCACAGGAAAGCATATAAATACGCATGTACAATTCAAATAGCTAGCAATGAATAAACTAGTTAACTCGTTTCCTAAATTAAGGTGTCATTTATTCCGGTTACCAATTTTTTGTAATTTTGGCAGTGAACCTATTTAGAGGCCCTAATCTGTTTCATTATGTGACCAATCTTTGTTATGTGAACCGTTCCGCTGCTATATAATCAAGTTAATCCACAACGTCCGTAACGCGAATGAAACCAATTCTGGTAACAATAACCTTTACCTTGCATTGTGGGCAATTGTCACTGGACCGACACTGGTACACACAGCGTTAGCGTACAGGGCATCATGTGTGCGTCAGTGCATCGACTCGTCCTCCAGTTAAAACGATCAACATATAAAAATCCCTTCATATAGAACTATTTAATAAACTTTCAAAAACCGACTTGTTATATAAATTATGGCCTGACGCCGACGTATTTGACTGGCATTGGCCCGATGACGAAGGTGCAAATGAATAGACCTACAGAAAAGGCACACAGTGCGTTAGTGTCAACGTAATGGTTTCCTGACCAAAAGCATTTTGATATTATTAGTTGCCATCGTCACTGCATCACTAATTGTGTCATTAATTTTCTGCGACACGCATACCTTTGTCTTCCATTGCAAACAATTCCTTCATCGTGGGAATTTAATTGTAAATTAAGTTCGACGAAGGCATGTGTTTATTACCTAGTTGTACCTAGACGTACAATGACAACTGGGTGCGTGCCTTGTGTTCCGGTTGCGAGCGTGCGCCCGCGCCGTGCCCTCGAACGTCTCCATTCTCAGATGACATTTGAATTACGACTACAATTGCATCTAAAATCGACGGTTTGACGTAGTTTTGCTGATCATGGATAATAAGTATGGCATCCTGTTTATCGGCCAGAATAACCACTGTATGTCATTTTCATTTAGCCTACCTGCGTTTATTAACTGCCTTCGGTGATCTAACCAGCTGATGTAGATGTATAAACTGAACTCTTTGGTGCTGTTCTCGTCTTAGTTAGATTGTTAAAAAATTAATACCAATGAAATCAAAGGCATTTTAACGTTTAGTTTAAATATGATCGAAATTTCCTTTGATATTTGTACAGTACACATATAACTTGGTAAAGACACTTACAATAATATTTAACTTAACGCGTGCCCTACAAAGTTACGACAAGTAAATATATATGTATAATATAAAAACAAACTAAATAGAAACATAGTCGCCAATGGTTCATTAAAGATTTAGATTAAAAACATTGTTAACATAAGTGTACTACATATGACATAACTACGTATGAAGGAAATCAGCCTGAAGATATCAATTAGCATTAGATAATGTGTTTGTTGGAATATCTATCTAGAATATTATGTGTTGTTTATGCATTGTACTCGTATGTCTTGGTATTTATAAAATACAGCGCAGGTTTCTTAAGTAACGATGCACTTGCTAATTTATCGCCATCCAGCAGAACAGTAGTTCTAAGATTGTACATAATTAGTGCTTTGTGATTGACTTGTCGAAGTTAAATGTTGTTTACAGATGATTACATACACAATACTCCATAGATCACGAGCCTGTGTGGTATAATTAGGTAATTAGACACGATTCAAAGAGAAGAAGACATGCAATAACCGATGTCCTAAGTTGATGTTAATAGTAGAAAGCTTTGTTATAAACACATCCGTGTTCAGGAATAACAATTTGCAAATAAATATAATATAAACAGATTTGAAATAAGATTGGATTTATCGAGGTTTTTAATATATGTATAACTAAAATTATATAATTTTTTTAGTTACTGTTGGCACTGTCTTCGGCTTTGGGCGGTGCTTCAGCTCTGCTACTGCTGGCGGTCCCAGTGGGCCGCATCACCGTCACATTCCCTCCTCATGTGGAACTTCTCGCTACTTGTGAGGACTCTACCATGAGGCTGGGACTCATGAAAGACTACGCCTGCTTACCACTCCACCCCTATTCTTACGACATCAACTTGACGTGAGTTAATAAAACATACATTATTTATTTAAGGCAGGTTTGTTTATGTAATTACTTGTGCTTTAATAAAATGTTTATTAATATTACAGGGTCCTCTCATGTGGTTTTGTTTGTGATTTACCTAAGGACATCTCAATAGATGAGACTAATGCGCTAATACACACTAATTCCTACGACATACACCTGCAATCAACTATTGACTCGCAGCGCCTCGTGTATCGTCACACGGTAATGGCGCAACTAGCACAAACATTGATTCCGAAGAAGGACCAGAGTACGTCGCGTATCTTGACAAACGATCCATTCTTTAACACTACCATATCCAAAGTGTCGGACCACACGATATTCTTCCCAGCACCAAAGTTGTATCAAATAGAGTGCAGTCACGAGTCTACTAATGAAACCTGTTTATTTGGTAAGGATGATATTTTCAATGAAACAGAAGACCATCTTGATGAAGCGATACTTCGGATGAGGATATCTCACGACGTGCAAACAGCACCACAAGATATAAGGAATTACTGGATAAGGGCCGTTTCTACCGATAGTAACTTCACAAAAGATGATGACTACGATGGTATCGACGGTGTTTCATGCAGTGACAATTTTGTGAGTATCTAAATATTAATCATCATCATCATCATCAGCCTATAAGTGCCCACTGCTGAGCAAAGGCCTCTTCTCACACGGAGAAGGTTTGAGCATTAATCACCACGCTTGCTAAATACAATTAGAAATTATAAGTCCAGGTTTCCTCACGATGTTTACCTTCACCGTATATCAGTGGTGTCTAAATAATCATAGAAAGTACATATAACTCGGAAAAAGTCACATTGGTACTTGCCAGGTTTCGAACTCACACTCTCATGCATGAGAAGCGGGCTCCTTAACCTCCAGGCCACCACGACCTAAATATTAATCGCTTAGTTTCAAAATTATTAAATAAACATTATATTGCTAGTGTGCTATGGTTTGAGATTATACTAAAGTTGTCAATTGCTTCAATCTAAAGTGATAGATTAAATTTGTTACAAGTGATAACACCGTCAATTGTTTACCAGGGTCAAGATGGAGGAGTTCGAGTGCAGGCAGGGTCGCGAAAATTATCCGGATGTCGGGCGGCGTGCGCTGCTTCTACGCCGCGAAAGACTCTCTGCGAAAATACTCAGCAGCAAATTGAGCTGGATCCAGCGTTCACGTTCTGGGCATACCTTGCTGTAAGTAACTGTGACTGTTGTATAGACAAACTTGCCGAAATGTAGACGTCTACCTCGTCAAGGCGGATGCTAAGGAAGAAGTAATAAAGGTTAATGAAGCTAAAGGTGGATCATGATTACCTAATTCTAGTTCTTACTTTACATACGTACATATGTACATATGTATACGTAACAAATAAAATTTGTAGTGAGCACGTGGAGCTAACGTAAACTCATGCAGATTGAGCGGATCCGTTGATGGAAAGATTGCCGTCTAATCGTCGCTAACTGGGTAATGGCGAACTTGATACAGTGAGTGGCGACACTGACGACCCGACCCATCGCTCGTGTTCCCATTCCGTCTGCCGTCTATCGGCTGCGCCCAACCTGCCACTATCACTGAACATTAAGTTTTTACTGCCATTTCTATGAAGGCGAAAGAAAAATGCAACAACATGGCTTTAGTTGATTAATGATCACTAATCAAGTATAGAAACTTAACCTGACTCGTAAATGTTGGAAAACCTGAGCAACACGCGAAGTTAATGTTTGATACGATGCAATGTTAACCAAGGACGGCGACGATCCGTTGAAACTTTACTAACTATGCAAGCTTACAGCATTATTGAAATATAATATTTCATTATAATTTAATCAATTTGTAGAAGATCATCAACTTCCGCGTGCTTTTTGAATTGTTTTTTATTTGATGTAATCCAAGAATTTGTTTTAGTGTCTAGACTAGATGATTATTACAGTTGAAAGTAATCATCAAGAATAATCCGAGAAATTTGAGGACAAGATCTAAGTCTTTTTCGTCTTTCGCTGTCGTAAGATCAAACCTATTGATTTTCATAATTTTATATCCATAGATACTACCTATTGTACATTATTTATAAAATTAAAAATGCAGAGGTAGTTATAAAAAATTTAATACGTATAAAGGAAGTCTTACTAATCGAAGCTAGGGGATTGGCTTTAGTGTGAGCCAGTAGAACTGGGAAGCCGTCTCCTCCGCCACTGAAACAATAATACTCAAAGGAGAAGGTGGAACGTGTGGGTGTGATATCGTCCTCAAGCCCCAGCCATGGCAGAAGGCGACACTCCTGGCGTCGAGGATCGAAGAACGATCTCCCGCCACCGTAAGCACGGGTCGACAAGAACGAGACCCGAGCCTACGGCGTGTTGCGGTCTGCACGCGCCACAAAAAAAGCCACTAGACCACCTCGGACAAAGCTCAACAGGGCCAATGTTCAGCCGGAGTTTTGGTGCAATAAGATACCGCGGCCTCAACTTGGGCGAGAGAAGTAATTTGATGATTTCCCCTCAGCAAAAGGGGATTGGTGAAACTGAACCAACCAAGTACCTATGAATATTCGAATACTTGTTATATAATACTCGGAAGGTAACAATATCTGTACAGATATTTGTGCTATATTTACAAGTTTAATTACAAGTTGACCTTTAATTAACGTAAAAAATATTAGCAATACGGAGGTGAAAGTATTCATAAAAATAAGGTTAACCTTACCCTTATCACTTTTCGTCGTAGATTCACATTCTTAGTGAAACACCTATTTGTATAGTCGTGGTCGGCAGTCGTTTCATAAGAGATGGCGGGTGGAAACAAGCTCAGCTGATCGTTGATAGATTTATATAAATTAGTATATTAACTTATGGTTAATATATTTCTGAGCTTAGGCATAAACAACGTCAGTTAATCATTGTTTCGCAATGACATCGGCAAGTGTAGTGGCCTTGTCCTCAATATGTGAGAGCTTAGTTACCCACACCACGTACTGACTGCCTACTATGCGAACATGTGAACGGGTATTGTTTGGTACCCTGTTAATGTTACGAATGTCTTTGAAAATGTAGTCCATCCATTGATTTTGTCAATGTCTAGGTTTTTGGTTTGATGGGGTTTGCAGCTTTTATCCCAGCAGGTAGCTTTTTTCGACTTTCCATCCTTTCCAAGTAAATTTTCAGAACCTTATACGCATTATTATTAGTATCTATGTCCGAATTGCTTAGCATGTTTTAATTAATTTCTGAAAGCTAAAGCAAGTAAGATTGATTCTTCAAAAACAATTTCATCGAAATTGTTGCAGCTATTTGCGAGATCTAGGGTATACGGTATTAGCTCCTTTGAAGAATATGTTTTTGACAACCAGAAAAATAATTATCCAAATAGTATACAAGTTTGTACCGTGACACGCTGTGGTCATGGCCCAGCTACTTAGATTAGTCGTTTGATTTGATAGCTGAAGTTTTCGTTAAAGCTGTTAGTTGAAGGGTATAAACCGGCTATCATCAATCTAAAAAGCTATCAATGGTTTATTGACTGATTTCATCTATGTACAGATATTTTTTGTTAAAAAGTACATGAAAGCTTTTTTGTTAGGAAACATTATAATCACGTAATATTTCAAACAATGTTTCTTGGAAATCATAACTAAAAATAAGATATCTACGAAGCTTTATTATTTTCGTAAAGGTTAATAATTTTGTTTTCCTTGAGGCTGTTCTATGGAAATAGATCCGTCAATCTATCTACTTGGAGAGGGATTTTACGCACATCATTATGAATTATTTCTTATTGGTACATACGTGGATCAACGGATCGAAATATTTGTATGTATAATAATTAATCATGGTTCCATTTTAAACCATAATAAACTACTTTTTACATGTTTCTGATAACGGTATATGATAAATCGCTTACGGTAGTTTTTATTTGAACCAATTATTCAAAAACGTTATACGTGTATAGCTGTATGAATTTTTCGGACTTAATCAATATTTTTTTTATTGGATAGGTCGGCAAACGAGCATTTGTGTTACCTGATGGTAAGCAATCGGCGCTGCTCACGGACACCTGCAACTACAAAGACGAGTGCGTTGCTGGACTTTTGGGGATAAGGGTTTCGGATATTTAAGAATTGGGGAGAGGGGAAGGATTGTCCCTCCAGTAACCTTACTCACGCGGCGAAACACAAGGCTGCGGTTGTTTCACGCTGGTTTTCCGTGAGGCCGTGGTATCACTCCGGTCGTCCGACCCGTTGCTTCCGTGCCGAATCCTGGCTCTTCCCCACTTCTCACTCAATGAACTAAATAGATTTTTTATTGTTTGGACCCTCAGGTGCGAGTGTTCATCGGTATCATTGGTGGGACAGCGTTCGCGATGTTCGAAGGAGCTGTCATTGCCATCGTGAGGGAACAGAAGGCCGACTATGGTCTGCAGAGGGTGTACGGCAGTATTGGAGGGATGATCTCCTCACCTCTCTCTGGATTACTGATCGACTACGCTAGCCGAGGGAAGGGATATACTGACTTCAGGTAATTTGTTAAAAGATTTTATTGAAATTTAAGCGTATTGCTATAATATTTAGATTAATTTTTAACGTACTACCTACTAACGCTTACAAAAAATTCAAGATTTCAAAAGCTGTCAGTCAAAATGTTAACTTTTAAACTTTCGCGTTTCATCTTAAGAACATTATATTTACGCGGGTATTAACGCGGAAACGGATCACTTAAGTGACACCGTAATTAATTTATCAAATACGAGTCTCGACGAACCTACCACAAAAAATATTGGCCAAAGGTATGAATTTTGCACTGACACCTACGCGAATCCCGTATGAAAAAGTAATTAGTAATATCGAGGAAACGATTATTCGTAATAAAATACCGCCCGGCGATGCCGAAACCCTGAGACAGGACATTGCGGTGATATTGCGGAAGTCGAAGCCTCCGGCTAGCAACGTCACTACAGAAGAGCGTCAGGCACTAAGAACTATAAGGGATAATCCGGATATTTTAGTGCTTAAGGCCGACAAGGGAAACGCCACTGTAGTGATTAATACGTCTGATTACCACAATAAAATACGGGAGTTACTGAGTGATGACAAAGTTTACAAGCCGGTCTCATATAACCCTACGGCCCGAGTAACACGAAAAATACGAGCTCTAATTCAAGAACATAAGGACCTATTTACAGAAGATGAGTACGAAGGGCTATATAAACCTAAGGCACATCAACCGCCTCGACTGTATGGCCTACCTAAAATACATAAGTCCAACGTGCCATTGCGGCCTATTGTAAGCCAAATTGCCTCACCGACTTATGATCTTGCAAAGCACGTTGCGTCAGTACTACAACCATTGGTAGGAAAAACATCTTCTTTTGTAAAGGACTCGCGCGACTTCATCCAGATTGTAAAGAGCCTGAAGTTGGAACCTGATGAACTCATGGTGAGCTTTGACGTTGAGTCGTTATTTACCAATGTGCCAATTAAGGAGTGTCTGGATGTTGTCAAAGATGTACTTAGTGACAATGACATGCCCCACAACTATATTGATTTGCTGAAACACTGCCTGGATGGAAATTACTTCCTTTTTCAAGGCCAACATTACCTTCAAATCGATGGCGTAGCCATGGGAAGTCCAGTGGCCCCTGTGTTAGCTAATCTTTGGATGGAACACTTTGAAAAACAGGCATTGAGCCTCGGCCCAAATACCATCAGGCTTTGGAAAAGGTATGTGGATGACATTTTCAGCATTATCAAGGGAGGTGAACAAGAAGTACGTCAATATGTAAATCACCTAAACAGCATCCACCCAAAAATGCGTTTCACTTATGAGCTGGAGACGGGCAGGTCGTTGTCATTCTTGGACATTAAAATAACCGCGAGATCAGATGGGTCCTTATCGCACTGTGTATACCGAAAGCCAACTCACACTGATCGGTACCTACATGCAAAGTCACATCACCACCCCCGACACTTACAATCCGTGATGATATCACTAAAAAACAGAGCATATGACCTCTGTGACCCTGAACATCTGGGGCAAGAGCTAGACCATGTTCAGGAGGTACTTAAAAAGAACGGATATAGTGTAGGGGATGGGCGACTATTGCGACCGCTGAAGAGAGCCAGACATCCAAACGTGAGCAGACAACCTGCCTTCATGCCTTATATCAAGGGTGTGACAGACAAGATAGGATCCGTCCTTAAAAAGTTTTCGATCCCGACGATCTACACACCTGAGGCTAAACTTCATGATAAGGTAGGCACGGCGAAGGATGTACTGCCGCTACAAAGCCCAGGGGTTTATAAGATCAACTGCAGCTGCGGTAGTTCCTACATTGGGCAAACGAAGCGGACCATTGCTGAGAGGCTCAAAGAACATATCGCCGCAGTCAAAAACCGACAGAGCAACAAATCAGCGATAGCAGAACACCTGCTCCAGGCTGGTTCTAATCACTGGGTAGAATTCCACCGACCGCAAATTCTCTCCACTGATCGCCACTACCATACAAGACTTGTGCGTGAAGCGGTTGAAATAAAGAAATGCCCAAATAATTTCAATCGGGAGGACGGCTTTAAATTGTCGTCGACGTGGAATCCAGTGCTTCGCAAAACACAACCTCGCTTTCCTTCAAAGTCGGTTAACACATCTGTGGATATAATCAGCGTAGTGTGTAGACGGCCTAATATGGTAGAAAATGAAAATAAGGGGGTAGATGAAGATTCATCACCCGAATGCAGGGAGCTGTGACATCGCGTCTTCAGTCTGCTTGTGACCACGACCTGTGCAACCGGGTCGAAACGTCAAGCCTACCAAGGTATTCAAATTATAATTTTCCGCGTTAATACCCGCGTAAATATAATGTTCTTAAGTCAAAATGTTGTTACCACCCGTATCAACATACTGCTAAATGCTAGCAAGTTCTTAAAACAAATCACGCGTACTACTTTTTAACACTCGTGAAAGTTCAAATAAAAAGCATACCATTAGATATGGATTCTGCTGATGTATACGCATACGTGGTACGTGCAATGAATCATTCTACAATCCTTATTGTTTGCTATAAAATATTATTCAAATGTACACTTAATTTTTTATGAGTAAGAGGCCATTGTTTTACCTAGCGTCGCTTCAAATCTTTGTTGTTTTTTTTATTGCGAAATGTTAGTGGGGTCATAGAGTAGGCTCAGATCTATAGGCCGTGACCGCTGATGTACAGACGTAATGCACGACTGTCTATAGAATAAAGTTATACAGATATGTGTATACCATTAACCTGGCAGACTAACAATTACATTGCTCTTTTCATTTAGAAGTATCTTTTTGCAATATGTAAAATAGTTAGATGGTGTGGAATGGTTAGACTTGAGCGATGTGTTCATTTAATTCTTTGTTATGTGTCTATACTTGAAAAGAGACTGTGACCTTTAAATTGTTTTTGGTGTTTTTTCTAAGTTGCAGACGAAATCATCCAAAGTGGTATTTGTGCAGTCAAATTCAAAACTGTACTTTTTATTTTTACACATTTATACTTTAACAATTACTTTAATACATTTAAAAAAAGGATATTCCTTCTTTTGTATACATCAATTTACACGATTAAGCCGTATAAGACTATTAAACATTACCACAGCGTTGTGTTTCGCCGTGTGAGTGAGGTTACCGGAGGCCCAATCCTCCCCCGCCCCCAATCCCTCCTCAATCCCTAAATCCCCAAATCCCTAATCCCTAAAAGGTCGGCAACGCACTCGTAAATCCTCCGTTGCGGGTGTCAATGGGCGGCGCTGATCGCTTACCATCAGGTAATCCGTCTGCTCGTTTGCCGACCAATTAAATAAAAAAAAACCAAGTATGGACTAATCTTTAACTTTATAGCAGTAATAGTTTCTATGTGGAAATTACATAATCTGTATTTGATTCAGCTGTAGAAAGTTCAGCTAGCATATTGAATTTACGCAACGTCCGAAGTTTTAAAAACAACATCATTCATGTTGCAAATACAGTTTATTTCACTTTAAAAATGTGTACATGTATGTAATAAGCGCCAGAAATTAATATTAGATACAGTTAGATACCTACTAACTCCAAATATCTATACACATTAATTGTGTATCTATAGGGAATATCTGAAGTCTTTTTTCTTTATTTACTTTATGAATAAGAAACCAAAAGAGCCAAAGCTTTCAAAATATAAAACTTTCATCAAATTCTTCAGAGCTGTTTCCGAATTCCTGTGATACGATATACTATATATACGAATTGATCATTTAACTTCCTTGTTAAAATGTATCTTAGACTTTAAAAGATACATAAGGAAGTTTTTTCAGCACATATTTTTTGTTGCTTCTTATATTTGTTTGTTGATCTTTAAATCAGGTTTTGTAATCGTATACATAAGAAGGTAATCTGATTCCAGACATTTATAAAGTTAGTAAATAACTAATGCAAATAGAATTATGGATTTATGTATGTAAAATTACCTACATTACATTATAATGTACAATTTATTAATTAAATAAGGACGATGGTTTATGTACAAAAGAAATGAACGGCTTGTGTTGTTTTTGTATTGTAGTATAATAACATACGAAGGCTTACATTTACGTAGGTACATGTGGGTAAATATGTATGTATAGTAGTGATTTGATGACTAAGAAGTCTTAAGTTTACACAAGTGACTGGCTTTGTTTGTTTTCTTCTGTGGTTAGACTCTCCATCCGGGTAAAACCAAAGATTTTAGTATCGTTCAATATTTCACGATAATGATCCGAATTTGTAGAAATTCGCATCGGTACCCTAGGCGGTCACTGAATAAAATAAATATTGAAAGTGATACTCTTTTTGATAAGGATGTTATTTATAGTTGCATTGAATTAAGACTTCCGTAGGTTCATAATCAATTATAGCATAAGGCGCTATTAGTAGCACAATATAATTGACGCGAAAGAAACACGTGAAAAAATAATCTAGCATTTCTCGAAAGAGCTTTCTCGAAACCTTTAGAGAAATAATGCTCTCATTAAATCTTAACACTTTCAAGGATTCTAAGTAATAAAAATATAATAGTAAACATTGTAAGTTCTCATTTCTTGACATCCATGTTCCAATGTGTAGCGGTGTCTTGAAAATAATACTGGTAATAGATATGCAAGCGGCGATCGCGGTTATTATTGTAATAACAGACAACATGGACGCGTATTACATAATATTGTTGAAAACGAGGTTTCGCGTCCCAACAGCGTGTCAAGTAATACATGCTCTATCCGTCTTCAACAATGCCTTTGTATTTTGGACATAATATTCTTTAGACTTTTGGATCATGGCGATGCACCTACCAACATATAATACGATAGTTTTCAATTAGCAAAACTATACTTTTCTATGAAATTTGCATGAAAAACTGAGTTAACGTCGTAACATTTTTGCGTCAAATAGCTTACTTATTTCTTAATCATTAAAAAAATCTAAAACTTAGTGTATCGATCGATCGATGAATAAAAATATAGTTATTTTTCAATATTTTATTGTATTGAAACGTCGAATTAATTTATTTTTGACCAAGGAAACTACCCAATTTCGAGAAAAATATTATTTTTTTTAGAGGCGTCAAAGTTATCTACTTCTATTGCCCTGGTGGGACGAGAGAGGGTGACAGACTATAACTGAGTAAAAATTATCCTATTCCTTCTCCTGCTCCAGGCCGGACTACGGTCACGGTACTCAGTCAAGGCAGGATAACCGTCACTGTATGCTTCTCTGTGTCTTCATAGATATCCACCTACCTATGTGTATATTTATTTTTAGAACGTAGATATATTTATATTGTAGTTCCAAAATATACCTAAGCGAAAATTAATAATGTACATATTTCGTTATTTTCAGACCAGCGTTCTATCTATATGCAGTCTTGAAAGTCGCTTCTGGGGCTCTGATGTTAAGCATAGACTTGGAGTTCAAGCAGCCGGCACAGAATCTTCTAGAAGATGTTATCTCCGTGTTCAGGAACATTGAAATTGTCGCGCTGTTTATTGCTTGCTTTATTATGGGTAAGAAATGAAATAACTGTTTTTTTTTTTAAAATGTTATTTTTAGTTAATATTACAATTTCACGTAACTAATTAATTATTTATAGATGAAAAATGAAAATGTAGTTGTAAAGATAAATTAAATCATCATCATGGTTTTTTTCTATAAAGTGTCCGAAATTTTTGTGGTTTTATTGTAAAACTATTGTTGTATAATCACGTCTCAAATAACATATTATACGTACCTACAATAACAAGTAATTTTTTTCTAGAATTTTATAGGTAGGTACATGGTTTAATTTATTCAGCTGAATATCGCATGAATCTGTTTAATTGTCTCGAAATGAATAATTAGGTAGGTACATTAAAATTCTTTACTCAAGTGTGCTTTTGTGATATTTTAAAATTTTATTCTTATAAAACTATTGTTATTATTTTTCCAGGTACTGCATGGGGCTACATTGAGAGCTTCTTATTCTGGCTACTACAAGATTTGGGAGCGTCCCGTTCCCTGATGGGAATAACGATAACTGTTGGAGGTATCGCTGGACTGCCACTCCTCGTACTCTCAGGTCCTATCATCAGAAGGTTGGGACACGCCAATGTGCTCTTCATCGGATTCATCTTCTACGCTATCAGATTGTTGGGTAAGTTTTGGTACCTACAGGTTTTATCAACATCAAAAATACTTAGGGATGCAATTGCAAACGAACATTTTGTCATTTGCATTAAAATCCTTCATTAAAGAACTTACTTTTGTATAAATATAAAATGACAGAAGAAATTACTCAACTTAAGAAAGACGTCAGCAGTCTATTTTAAGCTGCCAACAATAATTTTAGAGACAGTTTTAACGACTAGTTCCGTTCAATCTTTTGTACCCTCATCAGGCCATATTAGCAATTGGTAAAAGGCAAGACCTACCTAATTGTCGTGATTAGAATTAAGATCAGTTCAAAAGCGATTGAACTCGAGGTTAGCAGTAGATCGACTCGTTCAGTGACTATGTAAGCTGTGGTTCCACTTTCACCGTTGGATTCGTTTCCCATTTACTGATTTCCCTTTTGTTTCTACAAACTTTCCTAAATGCAAGTCAAGGCATCTTATCTATCATTAGGCATTTGAATGTTAAGGACGAAAGTTTTTAATATTTTGGTAACCAGTAACATTTTGTACCGATAGATTATTGTACCGAACCTTTCACCTACAATGTAATTAACTAATCGACCTATGAACAAATCAGGATTGACAATATGTCCCATAAATCCATTGTCAATATTTTATGCTTATTACGGTTTTTCTTCGCGAAAAGGAGGAGTCAGAATCTCAGAACACTAAAATAAATGTTCAAATCAATTCAAAAAAATCCTGAATAACCCACAAATGCCCGGCCACATAACAACGTAAATACTTTAGTGTTACGAATGACCACGGATGGTCCCGCTGGCTTACCATAAGCTAACACGTCTGCAACAATTTGTTTGCAACCCTAACCCATAAAAAAGCTAAGACTTGACTACAAAATTGTTGCTTCCATTTCTTTATTTATTTTTCCGTTTATATTTATACACATATTATTCTATCTACAGGTTACTCGTTGATTTACAACCCCTGGCTTTGCCTGGTGTTCGAAGCCTTGGAGTCTGTGACGTCATCGTTATCGTTCACTGCAGCGGTGACATACGCAGCACGTCTCTCTTCCACCACCACCGACACTTCTGTACAAGGACTTCTTGGAGGAATCTACTATGGTGTTGGTATGTTTCGAAATGCATTTCTAATCTGCCAATGGTATGAAAAGAGGTTAATGTTAAAATTACTAATTGTACAAGAGTTTTGTTGGTAACTTTTTTACCTCTTTACCTCGCCAGGGTGAGGCGAAAGGGAGTGTCAGACTTCAACTGACTATAACACATTCCTGCTGAGTTGTGATTTATTTCCCGTAGAAGTAAATGTTTCTTTGATGAATTCAAACTTGGAAGCAAGATGTAAAAACATAATTAAGAGTAGAATAAGAATATACTCACGACTCGCTACGTCCTTAGTCGCGTTTATTTACTAAATAATACCTATTATAAATATTGTCTACCATTTATAGTAAAGTTAAAACACAAACCTATTTTGGAAGTGTTTTTATTAAAAAAGGGTCATTGGTGCCCACCAAACATTGAATTATATGCTAATTGTGAATGCACACAATAGCATCGTCGCGTCGTATCCTGTGGCCTTGATTTAGCTTTCTTGCCATTTAAAGAAATTATAATTACACATAGGTAAACAGCAAATGTTCCCAAAGATACTTTTCTAACGCTCACTTAAAAAAATCGCAACGTCTCCGTTGTTTTGATTAGTGAGATATTTCCTTCAATTTCCCTTTAGATCACCAGGTTATTTTGTGCTTCTCTTACCGGCTCTTTTTAGGTCTTCATCGCCCACAAGGAAAAAAAGAAAAACAATTTTGACTTTATTAATTAAGCAATCATAACAGTGATCGTGGAAAATTCATGTGGCTAAGCACATCATTAATATCATATTAGTAATTCTCCCATATAACCAAGTTAGCAATATTTAATGGTTCATCAATTATTAATAGTGTTTCCATCATGTATTTACAGGTAAAGGAGCTGGCAGTCTTATCGGCGGTTATCTCATGAAGTTCTTCGGTACCAGACCGACCTACCAAATATTTGCCGGTGCCACGTTCATCACTGGTTGCATTTATTATTTATTCAATAAATTCTACTTACGGAAGAGGGTGGTTAGTTACGACGACGACTTTTGTAAGAAGAAGCAAACGCCAGCTGACGTTGAGGGCAACGAGCCCAACAAAGATGGCGACAAAATTGTGCCACCGATAGATGTCGCTAGCAAACCTGAGGCTAAACTAGAGAACTCTGTTGTCGACAAAGTAAAGGAGCCTGATTCTAATCGTGTGAAGTTAGTGCCTGATAATGTAGATGGCGGTAGCGACTCCGGAGTTGAAAATCCAGCTTACAATGAAACCGAATCGTCAGAAAACAGGAAAGAAGAAAGCAAATTGCCCACTGTGTGATTATTACATACAAATTAGTTAAGTAAAAGTGTATTAGAAGTCGCCTCGCGATTGTTATAGCAATAATAACTGTAATAATAATAGTTTTAAGCCGAATTTAGTTGTTAATGAGCCACCTATACCATTCTAAGATTTGTTCTGAACCAAATGGTACTTGCTTCTTTTGGATGTATATCACACAAAATGTGTTTTATGATACTATGACTTCCAGACTTCAGATTAATTGACCTAAACCTAGTTTTACTGTTTGAGCCAACATTCCAATTGTCATGTCTATTAGATTGTCTGCATTTATAGTGAAGCAGAATAAATAAAAGTAAATTTATGATTTGTTGTTGTACACCATAACGTACCTAAATAATTGTTTGTGTCATCCATGTCATGTATAAATAATAGTTCGAATGTAATTAATGAAAATCACACAATTAAATTGTGTTCCTATTTTAAATACCAGAGCGGTGAGTTATACAAACTGATGAATAAATTATATTAGTTTACCTAATGATATTTATTAATTAAATATTGTTATTTTATTTATGCTGTTCTTTTTTTCCTTTTTTGCGTTTTTACACATTGCCTTACACAAGTCGTAGACTGATTTTCTCATGTGTGGAGAGTGAAGTGGGTGCGTTTACAAACATACAAATACACACAAGCTAATAGGTTACATTAAGGCGTTGTTCCGTGCGGGAATCGGTCCTGCGTCACATTGCACAGTGTCTAGCCACTGCACCAACCGTGCTATAATGGTATGTTTTAGTTTGAGAAAACTAATATCAATATCGGCTCTCCCTATAATATAATTATAATATTAATAATACGCGCATTAACCTTTCGTCTGCCGGTTTGTGGTACACAATAGAAAATAAATTAAGTCTCGCTTAGATCTGCGCTTCGGCATATCAGGGGTTAGTGACCCGTTAAAAACTTGGATCTCACAATTTAACGCGAGACATCCTGCTAAATTTTCCAGGATAGAGACATATAAAAAACCTTATACGTAAAGTGAAAGTCAAATGTTTTTTTATATGATTGGATGGAGAAAAAGCATTCGGATTACCTGATGCTAAGCAATCAGCGGTGCTCATGGACATCCGCAATACCTCAGGAGTTTTGCTTGTATTTACGGCCTTTTAGGTATTAGGATTTCCAAGATTTAGGATTGGGGAGCTATTGTGGGAGGGGAAGGATTGTGCGTCAGGTAACCTCATTTACACAAAGCTGTGGTTTATTCGGTTTTATGTGTGGCTGTGGTTTCAGTCCGACCGAGCTGAACCATTCTTGCCAAAGCATTGTTCTACCGCACCTAAATTTATTCAATAGAGCAAAATAATCAATATATTATCTAACTACAATGCGTATGTGAAACAGCTAGCAAGAAACACCTCAGTTAGGTAATCACCACTTGAAAGAGAAAAGTGACTATCAGTAAAAAGATATTTATGAAGTAAGTAGGTTTGTATGTATTTCTAAAGGAATTCTTACTAGCAGCAATATCAGCTATCGTCAATCAAATTCACTTAATCTTAACTGACTCTTTGAAATTATTCTGCTTCTCAATTACTGCCCGTATGTGTGGTCAGCTAGATCTTTCACTTAGATAGTGATAAATAAAATTTTACTTTAATCAATCATATTTTACGAGCAATACAGAAATAGTATCATTCAGATGCAGTTTTAGAAATAGTATGATTTGTACTTTTTTTTTGTGAGGGGAAAATCATCAAATGACTTCTCCCGCCGGGCGGGAGGGAGTGTCAGACTCTTACTGACTAAAAACCCCCTGTCCCTTCTCCTGCTCTAGGCCGAGGTCACGGTGCCTCATTGCGCTCACCCGCAACCCCGGCAGTATGATTTGTACCTAACGATTTTAAGTCAACGAAGTCTTACAGCCATTATGGTCATTTTATGAACGGTCATTCATGTCATTTTTTAAAAACCTTTTTGCGAGTGGAAAATCATGAAAAGACTTTCGCACGCATAGGCTGAGGCCAGAGAGAGTGTCAGACTTGTTGTTGAGTGACTAAAAACCAATCACTCTTTCTCCTGCTCTTGACCGAGGCCACGGTAACTTACTGCGCTTTCCCCGCAACCCTGGCTGAAAATCGGTCCCGTCTGTGGTGGCTTTTGTAAGCTTGTCATTTAAATAAATAGAGTTACATTTTACTAGGGCCATCTATATTTTTAATCGCATTTTACTATAGTCATATAATTGGGTCTTCGCATGCATTATTATTAATCTGTTTTAGATGAACAAGGCTAGACTAATTCGTCACGTAACAGTTTTTACCACAGGGTAATACAATTTCTCTGCAGAGGTTCAGTGTCCCCGCATACAGCTAGTTACTTTAAACGTTCACAGTAGGGACGGGATTACTGTCATCAACTGACATATTCATTAAGGGTGAAAATTCTCATCCACAAATCCTCTAGAGAATTGTTGAAACTTTGTTGGCTAAAACCGAGGTTATTTGAATTTGTAATTCTAAAATCAAGCAGTTATTAGAACAATATCCAGATTTGACTAGTACATTATCTGATTAAATGATCGAATGGAATGTAGACAACTTTCCACTTAAGGTGCTCTAAATATTTTAAACAAATATGTGACACTTTCTACAAAGGCTTGGTCGGGAGCGATATTGATTATCATGCTAATTGTGTAAATTGTAACTCGGGTTGGGGTCATCTGAATCGTGCCTTCAACGTTCTACATATTAGAGTACCGCTAAAAATTATCGCAGTTTTACACCCAACACATCTGTCCCGAGCATGTGTATTTGGAAATATTTAACTTAACCCATCATTTTCTAGTCAGTTGTCGTGTGGAGCACTCGCGCATTTCGGTGTACACAAATGTACTTCTAACATTCATCTAAAATGAATCGAATAGTTATTTTCGCCGTTTTGTTAAACTGTTTTCATATCTACCATGTTTGTTCCGCGAACCTGCCAGGACCATTAGTGTACGTCGTAACACCGTCTCCGCGACCGCCGCAAATTGATATGGGAAGATCAGCACCGTTTTACTACCACAAGTGGATGAGCAGGATGGACACTCCACAAAACGCAACACTTACCACAACGACAACAGAGAGAACGAAGACTCCTGACTTGATATTCGCTGAATTCGAATCCGATAACAACAATATGAAATCAATTCGAAAACTTCTTGAAAAAGAGAAGATCAAATACAAAACGACTACGACGACAACAACGACCACAACATCAAGACCTATCTACGTTCCTGATGAAGAAGCGAGTAATGACTCAAGTTATGGTTTACCAGCACCGTCCACAGAAAAACCTGGAAAGACTGATATGAACGACTATTTTGCTTTGTATAACAACTTGTATAATTCCGGCCCAGTGTACGTACCTTCAGCAGCATCCCCGAGCACGGAACCGCCGCCAACTACCACAACATCTACAACCACGACGACACAAGCGCCAGTCAATAACGTAGAAAATATTTGGCACATCATTGACAGTGAGAAACATAACCAATACTCTGGTACATGGGAAGAAGAACCGATTAGCTCCGAACAAAGTCAAAATGAGGACGTTGACAAAAATCATTCTGAATCCGCAGATGTACAGGACCAAGATGATAAGACTCAAGACAATGCAGGAATTGATGACAACTTTGCTTTACCAGGGTAAGCTATGTTTGTAATATTTACGTTGGTATTTTCCCGTCTCTTTGATTGTGTATCTACGCAGGTAATTTAATTGAGGTGTTCTGGTTACTGGATGACAAGTGTGTACATAAAATAGTATCTTCGTTACAAAATATATTTCATTGTTCGCAGGTTTGGTACTAATCCTGGTAATGGAGCTGAGAATGAATCCAGAGCAATCCGAACAGAACCTAACATCCGTTTTCCATACATAGATTTGAAACCTTTCCAAATGAAAAATATGAAAAAGGTTAATTCCATATCAAATGGTAAAAAAGGAAACAATATGTTTAACTTGGATAGTTTTACTGATATCAAAAATCCAGTTAGAGGCGAAGTAGAAGATTCCTTTGCTCCTGTACGTCAACAAATAGACCGTTACAATCCTGCTCAACCTTACTTGCCTCAGCCACCAAGTTACGGAGCAAAAGCTAAACCAGCGCCCGCCCCAGCTCCAGCACCGCCACCACCACTACGACCACAACAACCCTCTGGTCCTCCGCCACGTCCAATTAATGCCGTTGCAAGTCTAGTACCCCCACCACCCCCTCCTGCACCTCAACTTACAGCGGATGATTTCCCAACACCTAGCACGTACGAATCCTTCCCACCCTATGCACCTTCGGCTCCAGCACCACGTCCTGTTACTTCATACCAACCACCCACTGACACTGGCTCTGATGTATCCTCTAGCGAAAGTGATAACGATGGACCTCCTTCTGATATTGGATACAGATATAAACCACCTTCTGCTCCTGCTCCTCCATCGCTGCCTTTTATTCCTACAATACCTCCTCCCAGCAAACCTTTTTCTGGTTATTCTTATAACAAACCACAGATGCCGCAAGATGACAGTAATAATAAACCTGACTTCCAAGGATACCATTATAGTAAGCCAGCTCCACCTTCATCACCTCAGGATGATGGACCTAGCTATGGAAATGATGACAGCCCACCGATGATGGATAACAAACCAGACTTCCAAGGCTACCAATACAATAAACCAGCACCACCAGCGCCGCCACAGGATCATGGACCAACTTTTGACCACCATGACGAACCATCGCCTTCGTATCAACCGGACTATCCCGAACTCATCTTTGATAAACCGCATGGAAGTTTAAAAGGTGGAGATGCTACGAAAGGTGGTGACATGGGAATGGTGCCTCCTCCTCCCCCAGCAGGAGATATGAAGCCTGATTCACACGACGCCCCTATGGATGACCATGGATTCCCTCATGACTTCCCTGGAGATTTCAAATTCCATCATGACTTTGATGAGCATGATCACGACCATTACCACTACCACCACCCTACAACGACAACAACTACGGAGATGCCTCGTGTCAACCGATACAGTTACTATTACCTCGGGAAGAAGCTTTACTACCTGCCTCTATACTTCAGTGTATACTTCATTGTTTACGTGGGAGCTCTGATTATCAAGGCAGTGTTGCGTCATAAGATTACTTATCCTAATAGCTGGAGACCGAACACAACTACAGCCAGTTTCTTCTCAAAGAGGTCCATTGAGTCTCATCTCTCTAATGAGAATCTTCACGAGATTACAGGTAGAGTCACGAGAGCTATCGCTATGGCAGCTGAAAAGTATGTTAGTGACAAAAGCAAAGACAATTAGTAAACGGTTATGGTAGACATGAAACTAAGTGTGTAAATTGTAGCATTATGTTCTTATTAAGGTTGTTGTGAACTGGACACGTTTAATTGCTAATCAATAATCCTATTTCATTTTTAAATGTAGTTCACTATCACAACAAGATTAATTATAATTAGAAAATTATGTTAGAAATATACAAATCATTACATTCATACATTCGCATTTTATTTTCCCTGAACAGTGAACTGTAGTAGCCCAATAACATAAACTTATTTTATTTTGTCCTGTGATAACTATAGTTAGCCAGAACAATGTAATATTCCGAATAAATACATAAGAATATTTTATAAACAAAATCTTTTCATAATAATGTTTACAAATCCAAAAATATGTCACATGTAAGACGTATTCAATTTAGTATATTTTTACGTAAGTATATCCCATTATTTTTATCTCTACACAGGTTAAACTTAGTAAGCGTATCAAACTACAATATAGTTTACATGCAAAAGAGGTTTACAAAGTGATCCTACGAGCGGAGGAAATGAGAATGAAATTCTAGGAGCTTTCGGCAACATAATCACATTGTTACGTATAAACCGAAAAGCTGTTTTGTAACCGTTTTATTATGTTGCAATTTTATCAAGCTGGTTTAATTATAACATGGGTAGGAAAGTGATGAGAACGTTTTTGTTATGCTATAGTTTTTACTATTGTTTGTATTAAATATGTAGAACTGGACCTTTTCCTTTATTTTTTGCCATATTTATTTATATATGATTTGCAACTAAGTAATTATAGGTGTACTAAATATGTGATCTAAAAATGAAATCAAAAGTGTGGAAGTAAAAGCTAAAACAATTCGGTACCAAGGCGGTTATTAACACCAGGACAGCATAAGTATTTCGAATGTCTGGTAATAGTAATATTTTTGTCACAAAAGGAAAGGTAGAGTACGGGTTGATTTGTCGACTTGACAGATTTTTTCACTTCTTAGTGAGCCGCGTTTTATTTAGATGTAAAATTCACGTTGGCTAGAGACCAAAATGGAGCAGAATGTTGGCGATCTCGAATTTTCTATTGTCCGGAATCCGGATACGAGTGTCAGTGACCTTTAACTTAAAACCGTTCGATGTGATAATTTTCGAGAGTTTAAACTTAAAATAAAAGGAAAAATAATTTGAATGTGTATGCGAGTTTACTTTTTGTGACATAGATACTTACACATTTTCTTTAATGCTGTCTGGCTTCCTGTTCATACCTGTCATAAGTAGTGCGGCATTTATTATACAGTAGTATTGGGATTGTATCGTTAACTTCTAACTTTCTTTTGGGTTATTTTATTGTATTAATAAATTTCTGTTTTCTAAACTTATGGTAAAACGTATTAAACAGGACAAGGGCCTTTCATAGATTAAAGATTCACTTTTTATTTTTGCCTATTGGTCAGGGTTTTTTTTTGTGAGGGGAAAATCATCAAATGACTTCTCCCGCCCAGGGCCGGGCAGGAGGGAGTGTCAGACTCTTACTGATTAAAAACCCCCCTGTTCCTTCTTCTGCTCTGTGCCGAGGTCGCGGGGTGAAAAACGGTGACTATGCTCTATTACATAAGATCCAATATTGGTTACCTTATCTTGTTGACAAGAGAACTATTTGTTTGTTACTTGATCTTGACTTACATTTTGCAATCCAGATTAGATATCTAGAGACTGTTGATCTAATAGGTAAGATAGCAAGTTCTCAAGTTCGACGTTTTCAAATTTTACCTACTCCTATCAATGATTAGGTGATTTTGAATTTAAAAAGTTTAAAAATAAACTTTTTAAATTCTTAAACTTTTTTAATTTAAAATGTAAACAAATAAACTTTTTTAATTTCTAGAGGCCTGGAGATCGAAAACACTTACAACTAATACCATATAGTTTAGTAATTAAGACAATGATAACAACGGAAAATTTAGATAAATTATTGGCAAGCGTACCTATTAGGATGGTCAGGTATAATGACCAAAGTAATTATTAATTAATAGTTTTCCTTGGCAAGCTACTAGCTTAATTGCCACCAAAATAGGAAAAAATATCGGAAGTTCTTTGGACAGATTAAGAATTTTTCCACCTTTATCTTAATAGTCAATTATCCTAATCTTACCGCATTATTTCCCTCTGTGAAAAAATTGTATTAAAAATTTCCATTTTACGTTTTGGATAGAACTATGAAATGAAATCCATCAGAAATCCATTTTTATACAGTGCACCTACAGACATAAATGTCCGTTAAAAAAACTGCTGTAGTAAGATGTTTCATATTTTATTAAGAATTTACATTATTAAACCTATTACTCCTAGTAACCAAATGTTACAAAGATACTATAAAGAGAACTAGTACCTATGCAAAATAATGAGGTAGCCTACTTCGAAAACACAGTTACCTACCAAATATGTATAATAAATTGTCTTTATGTACACAGTAACTTTAAATTTACTTAGAACTCTCTTCGTAACCAATCTGGGCGTTTCCATTGAGTTTATAAAACAGATCCCAGAAAGCCATCCTGGATTTGTAATGCCTCTTCTCAACTTTGAGATCTAAGTTGATATTCAGATAGTTAAGCGATTCCTTTGTGACTGGCGGCCATTGTACAGGCAATAACTCTGTTGACACGGGAGTGGGGTTTCTGAAAAATATATGATTATTTAATAAAGAATTTTATTGATGTTAAAATATCTTACACTAGAGACTTGGGACTTGAGTGTATGCATGATTACAATACTTTTGGACAAGTATTCCATTAATACAAGATATGAAAGTGATAGGTGTTATCGAATATGAAACGACTGGTAACTATAACATGTTTCTGTATATCGCTTATCTACTTAACTTCAAAGTATACGTGATATAAAGACAAGATACATACCCGAATTTAACGAAATTTGCCCATAATGTGGTCACACGATCGATGATAATTTGGTCTTCCCAAGAGGGTGGAGCCATGTAAGAGATGTCAAAGAAATATCCGATCTCATCTGCATGCGCTGCTCCTGCCGCTGTTACGTTTAATCTGTCTTTGACAAAATTTCTTTTACCATCATACGAAAATACGTATTTATAAATATGCCTCGCACCACTGTCTAAATATTTTTGTATAGTTCTCTGTACTGGATGATTGAACCAGAAGTCTGAATCGAATTTAATTAATTCATTTTTTACATATTCACTAATTTCTTCATCTCCAATATAGAAATGTCTTAATAGTGCTTCCATTTCAACTAGGTTTTCATCATCTAGATCAAAATAATTCAAATGGTCCTTAAATAGGTCTAACTTTGCAAAATCTGCGGATGAAAGTGTTTCGTATGTTGTGAGTCGTTCGTCACTATTGTATCCGATGAGTATGGGCACGTTTCTGAGGTTTGTTTTCTTTACATTGATAGGGTAATCATAAATGAATTTGTCATCGGAATCAAAACCCTTTTCTACAGAGGGACGAAACATCAAACCAAGTTCTGAAGTTGCTGCTATTAATAAGCTTGTATCAACCGTTGCCAGAAATGCTAATGCTTCTTCAGCGTTTGTTGTTTTGAAACCGAGGTGTTCAGATAATTTTAGAGGTGCCGATGTATCGGGTTCTATTACCACCCAGGGACATATCGCCGTACCGCTTTGCATAATTACTTTATCGAATAATTTTTCCTGGTTGTACAAAAATTGTAAGTCAACTGATGCTCCACCGGCACTTTCGCCGAAAATTGTTATCTTATCAGAATCACCACCGAATGCTTCAATGTTTTCTTTAATCCATTTTAAGGCCAATCGTTGGTCCTTTAGGCCTTGATTTCCAGGCATATCAGCTGTATTTAGACTCATAAATCCATAAGGCCCTAATCGGTAATTTAGAGTTACTAAAATAATGTCTTGTTTAACAATGTAACTTGGTCCATACAAATATCTGCCTGAGAATCCAATTGAAAATCCACCGCCATAGATCCAGACAGCAACGGGCAACCGATTCCTTGAATTGGCAGAATTGGGTGCGTAGATATTTACGTGCAGGCAATCCAGCGTCCCTACTACAGTGTTATTGAATTCCTCAATTTGTGGACATATTGCTGAGTCATCATAAGCTTCGAAGATATGGTCAAAGGCGGGATGAGGTGTAGAAGGCTAAACGTTGATTAACAAAAATGATTTTAGTTTTTTTTATAATTCATATGAAAAAATAAGAGCATTTACGATGCAGAAGTTTTCATACAAACTTTCAAGTTTAAAATTATGGTAACTACTGAATCGATATCAATAGAACTTATAACTCATACGCAATATATTAGGTACTAAAAACTTGATTACCTAAGTAATTTTTAAAAAGGGTTTATAGACAACGGTCAAGAAACCCCACAAACTGAATTATATTTCGAAAAATTATGTAATTTTATAGATCTTTATTTGCGTATTGGTGTTTTGTATTTCATTATTATCGGTTCAGTTGTTTTCATGAAAACCGGTACAGTGTTAAAACTCTTAATGAGAAAAGTAATGAAAAATGAAACACTCACCCCAAAAGGATTGCTCTTGTCCACAGTAGCGTATGGTATACCCATAAACATAGAGTAATCTCCATCTGATGCTCTCAAACCACGAATTAACCCAATTTTAGTATCTACTAACGGATCAATTCTAGACAATCCATTTCCATTCCGGATTTGGCAGAGCAGTAAGAATGAGAAGAATATTTTAAATTTGTAATCGTCCCACATGTTTGCGCTTCGCGTCCGAGAAATAAAGTAACACTAGCAGTTTTGGCTATAGAAGTTGACACATAAAGGGCCTTGTATTTTTCTCAAGTGTGCAAAGGAGATATAGGTAGATTACAGTTTCTGATCACAACATAGATTAACAGATCACATTGGTCGAGATAGAATATTGCGAAATCATTTACCAAAGACGAGGACGTTGATAATATTTATTAACATAACACGTTTTTTATTTTGGTCCCTCATAAGAGTTTTCTTTACTATGTAACAATTATTAAAAAATGCTTGCCTCACAGTTAATAGCTTAGTGAAAATTAAAATATTACTTATATAAAATATATTAAAATAATAATTAATGAGTTACAAAAAGACGTAACAATTAATACGTAAATTGTTTTATTCGTTCAATAAATAATGTTTTCGCTCTCCCTGAGACGTTTTCGTTAAATTTAACTAGATAAACAGGGTCGTTTGCCGGACAGCCGGACGGTCAGACGGATATATTTGTTACTACTGCCGCCGTACAATAAACGATAAACAAGATAACTACCATAGGTACTGACCTGCTGGTGGATATTTTGTAAAGTGTTTCTATAGGAATTATTGTAACAACAGTTGTATTTCTCGACGGAGTAAATATCACACTTACTTTGTCCCCATAATAACCATGTAATTAATTATAACTTTTAATAGGAATATTTATTAATTTGCTTCGTGTCGCTGGACATGTAAATTCATCGCTATTTTCTCTGTATCCAACTTCAGACTTTTCATAGAGTTTATAAAACAGGTCCCAAAAAGCCATGCGAGCTTTAAAGTTTCTCCTTTTTACTTTGAGTTGTGTGTCAATATGCAAGTAATTCAGTAAGTCTTCTGTAACCAGTGGCCATTTAATTGGGAGTAGTTCACTCGTTTGTGGAGTTGGATTTCTGGAAGAATGTTAAAAATGTTTATGTATTATGTATTGCTGTGGGCTCAGATTATCGGATAACTTAATTTAATTTGTATTTGTGTGTGTTAGAAATTTACATATCTTCAAAGGCGAAATAAACTGGATTCATGGAGATTGTATATAACAAGGCAAATTAATGATTGGAATATTTGAATACTTACCCAAATTTTACAAAATTCGCCCATAAGGTGGACAAACGGTCGATGATCAACTTATCGTCAGATGTGATGTTTTTATCCATGTAAGATACGTCAAACAGATACCCGAGTTCATCTGCATGGCATGCTCCTTCAGCTGTTACACCAAATCTGGCTTTAAGAAAATTCCGTTTGCCATCATGTGCGAAAAGGTAGTAGTACATTTTGTCAAATCCGTGGTCAATGTATCTCTGAATAGTTCGAACAACAGGATAATTAAAATAAAAATCCGAATTTAATTTACTGATTCCAGTTTTCACGTCGATACTTATTTTTTCATCCCCAATGTAAAAGCGTTTTATTATTTTTTGAACTTTAAAAAGTTCTTCTGTGTCTAAATGAAAATACTGGTCTAGATTATCCAAAAATAAACTTATATGTGTGAAATTTTCTGGTGGTATGATTTCAAAAAATGCCAAAGATTCGTGGCTGTTCAATCCTAAGAGAACAGGAACATTACCAAGATTCGGCTTCTTAATGTTCACGGGATAGTCATATATAAACTTTTCGCCATTATTAGTGTCGTTTTCTACACATGGGCGAAAGGCTAGACCAAGTTCTGACGTAGCTGCAATTAATAAACTAGGACTAACTGTAGACAGGAATGCCATAGCTTCGTCAATATTTGTGGTGGCGGAGCCAAGATGCTTAGATAACTTCAATGGTGCCATTGCATCTGGCTTCAACATGGACCAGGGGTATAGAGCAGTACCACTTTGCATGATAACCTGGTCAAATAATCTTTCGTGACTGTACATTAAATGGAAGTCGGCCGCCGAGGCACCAGAGCTGCTGCCACATAACGTAATTTGACTAGAATTTCCGCCAAACGCTTCTATATTTTCTTTTACCCATTTCAGGGCTAACTTTTGATCTTTCAATCCTTGGTTTCCAGGAACGTCTGATGTTCCAAGACACATAAACCCATACGGGCCAAGACGGTAGTTAAACGTTACTAAAATGATATTTTGTTTCATTAAGAAACGAGGTCCATATACGTATCTGCCTGCGAATCCGATCTTGTATAAACCACCGTAGATGTAGAGCAGTACAGGTAGCGGATTGTTTGGGCTGACTGTGTTGGGAACATAAACGTTTATATGAAGGCAGTCTAGGCTTCCAACTATAGTATTGTTGAATTCCTCAACTTGGGGACATATTGCAGAGTCGTTGTAAGCGTCAAACACTTCTTGGAATTTGGGCTGCGGTAAAGAGACCTAAGAGGAAAAATTTACAAATAAATCAACGGTCGTAACATTGTATCTCAAAAGCACACAAAAATTTTTGTATTCCTTTAAGATATTTATTGTCATTGTCATAAGGTTCAAATTTAAACTAGAAGAAATTAGGAAAAGATAAATGCTAGAAATAAGATTTTAGAAATGGAAGTTCCATGGTTAGGTGTCGTGCATGACCCATTGGTCATGCACGTGGTGCAGGGGTGCAACTAGAAATACAGTATGATATTTCATTACTATTAGTTTTTTTAGAACAAATTGCTTGCTTGTAAAGTAATAAATAAAATAGGTGCAGATTACTCATTTTAGTATAACTTACCCCAAAAGGATTAGTTTTATTGACAACTGCGTAAGGTATCCCGAGAAACATTGAATAATCGCCATCAGTCGCTCGTAAACCACGAATTGGGCCAACTTTAGTATCAATTACGGGATTTGTCCCCGACAGTCCACAAGCATAATGGATCTGGCCAAACAATGCCAGCAAGATGGCGCAATTAATGTTCCGCATAATGTACTAATTATTTCAGGATTTCAGGACCTGTTGGTGTACCGCTGAAATATTAAAGTGAAAATCTTAATGGTCTTTATCTGTTGATTAATGTGATGCATGGTAATATTTGTTCTAGTTACTTTAACAATATTATCCTTATAGACACATATTTAAGAACCGATCAATAATCAGTCTGTCAATCTATGTACATAGTCTTGTCTATATCTTTACATAAGCTAATTAATATTTAAACAGTTTAAGTCGACTCATATAACTTAAATAAAGCCGCGTTGCTTGCCACGAATTCAATGTCAAAACACAAAATGTTTTAGGCAATCTGTAAAATGTTTTCTAGACAAGCGCTACGGCCAAATGTTGAAAGCAGACCACGGTAAGTAAGAACCTAGTTGGCTTAACCTATGTGGGCCCGCATTGCGGATTTCAGTTGTCTCATGATGAAATATAGTGTGTAAAACTGCAATATCTTATCTTTGTGCAGTTTATCTGGCTGATATTTTTCACAGTATTTGTTTCTAGAAAAATGTGTAAAGTAGCATAGTTTATCTTAAATATAGATTATGAGAGCAACAGATAAGTAGATCGTCGGAACACTTGATAATTACATGGTCACAAGCTCTACATTGTACTACTACATGTACTGAAATATTTAGAGAAAAAGAGGAAGACACGGAGAGTGAGGGAGATAGAGAATAAGCAATAATAAATTATTACTGTTAGATGCTCGGTGATAAATGGATGCTTCCTTCATGACCCTTTTCGCACGTGTAAACTGTATTAATGAAAGACGAGACTGCGTCTCGATATATCACGCTATTACAATATAAAGTAATAAAAAAGGTATAGAATATCTCTCTCTTACCGTATATTAGTATTATTTACACAACGACCACACCGATGAATGTTATAAATAGAACTCAACGCCAAACTGATACTGCCACCTTATTAATAAATTTAGAGGTACTTAGGCTAATGTATTCTTAATATTGAAACATCTGCGCGTATCTAATTATTAATGTAATTATTTACCTATTAATATATTAAAGAAACAGTGTAAAGAACAAAAGACTTGAGTGTGTTCCTTGATCCATAGATGATACATATTTGTATTTTACGTGTATTTAAATTAGGTTTCAAACAGAAACGGTAAAACTGGATAATGAGAGAAAACTGTAAAACGCGTTAATTACCTGATAAAATTGATAGGAAAAGATCTAGTAACTCGGCTCAAGCTTTCACTAGTGTGTCAACTGTACAAATTAAATTGACACGCCACTTAAGAGCTACACACGCTCGGTGTGTTTACAGTATTCATATTTCAGGTGCTCCCTTTGCACAGTTAACTGGGGCGCGACATCACAAATCTGTCAGTAGCCTGCCCACCGCCGAACCATGCACATCCATTAAAAAAACGTAGTACCTTAGAAGTTTGAAAAGTGAAACTGAAGGACTATAGACCACCGATTTTGTTTTAATTTTTCATTTTGTGGTTTGGCAATGGTGTCTAAAGGGGTGTTGTTGTCATGTCACGGGGTAGTCTGGCTAGGCGCGGTCGCGCTGGCGCTGTGGGCGGGCGGCGCGCGCGCTGCCTTGCGCTACGACACAGCTACACCATACACGCCGCCCTACAACAAGTACAGATACATACCGCTACAGTAAGTACTTTTCCGATATCATTTTTATTGCACTAATTCATAATTAAACCAAGCTTGGATTGAGTTTTAATTCTGTAATGTAGCGTGAAAAGCTGTATGAGTTAGAATTATAATAACATATTCCACAAAAAAATTGTATTTGTTGGATTAGTGTGTAAAAACTTGACACAAAAATCATGAATGTCTACTAAATCTATGCAAACTATAGTAGGTAGTTTGGCATTGTTTGTAACAAAATTAGAAATAAGTGTTTTCATTCTGTTAAACGCAACATTTTCCAATATGTTGCTTATTTTCTGAAGTGAAAATATATATTAATTACCATTTTTATTAACATGTATTATGATACAGTAAATCTAGTTTATAAGAATAATTTAGATGATTCAATGTGATATCTCCTTATTGTAGTGTTGATGAGATTCCCGAGGCATCCCTGTCGTCCCCCGCGGAGGAGGAGTCTTCCAGTAGGATGCCGATTTCGGAATTTATCTTGACAGCTCTCCGGACAGCGCTAGACGTCGTCAGGAACGTCAACAAGCAACGAGCCATCGCAGCCGCCACCCCTAACAATGCCACCACTGCTGTCGCGGTATGTGACTAGTTTTGTCATTTTTTGATAAGAAAAATGAAATATTCATAAAAAGACATCCTTTTTAAATGTTTGTAGTAGATCTAACAGTAGTTATCGTAGTTAAAGTTGGAATTTGCTTTGTAGGTAACATGTATACTCGCATAACGTAAATTCAAAAGTATATTTACATATACCATCACAAATATTACATTTTTAAGATTCTGGGCAATTTTGATCTCTACTACCAATTTTACTAAATAGTTGTTGCGATTATTACCCCAAACTGTAAGAATGCGCTTTGCTCTTTTTCAAACACAAAGGACGTGTTTATTTATAACTACTTTTACTAGATTGGGGTAGTTGTATATGTAGTTTTATCTTACTTTCATCTATTTAACTTTTTAAAGAAACTGAAAGTGTACTAAGTAGTTTTCAAAGTCTTGTTATGTCTATATCGATTCTTGTTAATGTCTATTTTATTCCATAAACTTTTTTCACTTAGACTAAAAAGAAAAAAGAATAGCCAAAACTAATTAATCACGTTGTCCAAACAGTTTATTCAGCTAAAATAAGACTTATAAGTACCTATTCCGATATTTTTTGCATTTTTCTAATATTCCATATTCAATCAAATCTAGCTAAATGACATTAGACTGTGCTTAATCGAAGGAATTGTTGCCATACAAAAAAATCCTATAACACGTGCGGGTGATAATTAAAATTACCGAAATAGTGCGTGAAGACATCGAGCAACTGAAACAGTCTGAACATTCCAATCGCATGTGGAGAATTTTGAAAGAAGGTCATAGTACGGTATCTACTGAACTGGACAAATTGGTTGAAGTGGGTGACCGACTCCATGGCGCTAACTAGACGCCTTAGACAACCGAGCCTCGATTGACATACGAGTGTAAATAGAAATATAACGACTACTTAGCTTATTTCGTATTGTCGTCTCCATTCAAGTTTCCATTTACTGTTGAGATAAAAATTGGTGGAACTTTAACAGTCCTAGTATAAAGAAAAATGAGCCATTTAAAAGATCCATTTTAGTTTGTTTTGGATAAGATTACGTTTCAGCTAATTCTTGTTCTAAATACATAGGTTCGTAAAAATAAATGTTTTCTCTAGATGAGATTGGCGAAACATTCCATTACAAACTGTCTGTAATTCTGAATGTACCTTTCCTGGTTTTAATTAAATTCAGTAAATACTTTGTTAATTAAAATAATTTTTAACTTCATAAAATCAACTCTGTTCTAGTCTTTACCAAAGAATGCAATTTCTGTCGTAAAATACAATATACATGTATATGGCAGGAAAATTGCTGAGAACGATCATTTCAAAAATAGAGAAAATCTATATTTAGTTTGTTTAAGAAGTTATTTTATTAAGAAGTCAAAAATAGCTAATGTTCTTGTCTGAACGTAGCCTAGGGTGAAGATAGATTAGACATCAAATAACTTAGTGGCAAACTAGAACACACTTCGAAAAGTTTCATAGCAACTTGTCGCAGATAACGCACAGATTAACAACAGATATTTATGTATTAAAGTAAGGAAGGAGCTATATTTATGAACTGCTTTATCAACTGGGGGCTGACTTTTCAATAGTCAGATAAATGTTATCTGAGGAATAAAATTGTTGCTGTCACTGTCTTATACAAACATTCTGACGCGACAGCATCATAATTATTCCCAGGTAACTTTTATCTAACCATTGAAAAATCAGCCCTGGGTTAAATAAACTAAGTAAGATATTGATTTAAGAATCAACATAACAAATAAGTTAGTAAAGAAAATGAAGGTATGACAGAAAATGATATCAAGTGATGCCATAAAGCAGTAGGTCCCTTTACTACAGATCTTCAACACATTTAAATATGACACTTAAATAAATGTATGTTTTATTATATTTTTTACAGCGTAGAAAATAGAGTTCACATTTAAAGAATAAGCTAGTTCTAAAAAGCCATATAAATATTTCCAGGTACGACGAAACAGGACGAAACCAAAAAACGGGACAGTGGGAACCGGTCGTGGGTTCGAAGACTATTACGATGAAGATCATCACCACCATTACGAGGAACACACCACCACTGCCAAGCCTATGAAGCAGAAGGCCAGGTACACCGACCCCTGGGCTGGATACTACGACTGGATCATCAACGAGGGATCTTTCAAGTTCTGGAGTGTCTTTCAGGTAGGGCATAAGATTAGCTTTTAATCCATAGGCACTTTAGAATTGTCCGATCGTCAGTTATTTTGCAAAGTGTTTGTAGGTAGTTAGTTGCTTTACTTGATTTAGCAAGCATTCGAGAATTCAAATTGGGTAAAAGAATATACTCTGTTAAAATTCAAAATATGATTGATAGCTTCACGATATTTTAAATCAGAATCGGTACAGTAATGTTACAAGATGCCAATACAGACAAATTAATCTTGTATGTACAGATATCGTGATCAATTAAACAGTCGTTCCATAAAATTATTTAATTACAGCTTCTAAACGCTTACACCTTGTTTTTGACACACGTCATCTTCATCTGAATGCGCAAAAATAGACTTGACCTCAAGCGCAGCGTAGCGCATCGTAGCGCGAAAATCGTTGTTTTATAGTTTCGCAACAAAAAAATGATAATATTACGTTGTCATTTATCGTTCGGCCGGTAGTTAGACGACATAACATTGACATAGTTATGAATGTAACCATGTGATGACCGTCGCGACTCGCGACAACATGCACTACCTTGTAGTAAGTAGCCTTGCCATTGTCGCTACTCACAACAGTTCCTAGATCGAGGTTTCGACAACAATATGACTTCGTGTTTAGACAACCATAAGGATTGTTTACTTACATAATGGCCATATTTCCCACCATAACCAGCTTGTATCTACTTAATAAGAGCAATTATTGACAACGCGTTGGCTGGTGGTCGAGACGTGATGTTATTTTCACGGCCGCAGCTTAAGTGCTTCTTCTTTTAAATGTTTCCTGATTTTTTCAACTAAAACGATATCGCTCATGTTGCTAATAAAGGGAAGATATATCTTAAAACTTCCTCCATTTTCAGTTCGGAGGTAATTATAAAAATAGCATCTAAACAGTCTTTTGTCTAATCGAAAAATATTAAATAATAAAACTTAATATTAAACAGTTAATTAATACAATTAAATTTTGTAAGTAAGAATACTTAATTTATATTTTTTGCATGGAAGTAAACACAATTATATTAAAATCTGAACTTATTGCTAAGTTTACGTAAGAGTTTAAGCAGTATTCTGTAAACACGACGTAACGTTTCAAAATGGTGGTCACGATCGGGAGGCAGGGTGGAGGGAGGATGTGAGTAGTTCCGGCGGCGCGGCGTTCGATGCTCGGCGCGTGCGGGTCGCGGTAATGACCCACCGCTTATTGTGCCTGATTCACATTCAGATCCACAACTTACCACATAAAAGCAGATCTTCGTAAACAGACACATTATTTACTCACTGACGGATGTTTCAATACTTTTCATTCAATAGCATGTGGTTTTGAATGTCAATGCTTCTAAGCCGATGAGCGATTGAAACTTTAAATCGATAAATTAAACGTGGGAATTAGTTATATTACCTTATTGGATTATTGCGAATTGTTTAATAAGTTTGTAGGTAGTTGGTGAAATAATCCTCTAGATTTACGCACTTTCTGTGTGAAAGTAAACTTTCAGGAGAAGTTCAAAATTTATGTTCAACTTCTTAATTGATTCAATCCTGACTTTCATTTTTATAAAACATGTTTATGTCTATTGTTTATTTAATAATTTTTTGGTATCTAAGTTTCTAATTTATTAATACTAATTTGTTAATTTCCAGCTGTTCACGGCGGCCCTGCTTCTGTACGCGTGCCTGTCAGCCATCTACTACGCGAAATTCAACCCTATTTTACCCGACTATGACAGGGAATACGACGACTACTTCCTCGAGCGTACTGTAGGAAGAAACGCGAGGAGCTTAGACTCCCTCGAGCAACACGAGTTGCCTTCAGGGCACAGTTGGATCAACCCTAGAACATTCCAATTCATACTCGACGCCATATCGAAACACTACGAAGAGGAATAGACAACAAAAGGAAATTTAGTACTTATTCGTTAGGTAGTAAGTCATAAATTGATACGGGGTAACGATGATTTAAATAGTGTATTTTTCTTTATTGATATAATGGAAAATTTATTTGGGTTAAGGATATAAAATTACGGCAAATGTGTACTTGCATTTGTTAAAGTCGCTGCCATACTGAACAAATTTCTCCTTGTTACCCTGGATTAATTTATGTTAAAATTTGACTGAAACATGCTCAAATGAGGGTCCTCAAAGATCACCCTATTCTAGAAGTAGGTAGCCCTGACTTGACGGAACTTAAATAGCAAGTTCTCATTGAGTCGGGTCTTTGCTTCAGTTAACATTAATTTTAATATTTAGTTCATAAGGAGGTACATTATGCTCAATTTTAGTTCCTAGAAACTTCGAAATAAACAAGCAATATAAAAAAAAGGAAGTTTTATTAGTAAGTTTTGAAAGTGTTTTAGTGTTGAAGTGCACGAGGGAAGCATAAAATTGTGTTGTATGAGGGTCTAAGGGAGCCCCATGTTTATGTGATGTAATGCTCGCACTGCGCGGGAATAAACGTTCAGTGCTAAGCATCTACGGTTTAGGACTGGCGTGTACTGCCAACTTTAGACTCACTTAATTTAAACGCACTATTTTTTCAATTCAAGCTATCAAAATTACTCTAAGTTGACCAAAAGTTTTGTAATTAGTCAATGTCACTTGATCGAAAAGGTGAGATCACGGGTACAGCTAGCTAGACAATACAAAGTGTCCTTTTATAACGAACTCTCGCAATATCGCGACATTTACAGCGTAACGAAGGAATTGTTCGAGTTGTGTCTATCATATTTCACAACTTTATAATTGGCCCACAAGTGGCTGTAAAGTCAACGTTAACTAATTGACATTGTCGTGTCTCACAACGAAAGTGAAGAAAAATCTTCTATTGAATTTTCTTGAGAGAGTGTACAGAGAATTTATTATTTCATTTATGTTATCACATAACTTTCTTTTCTTTCATAAGTTAGAGTATTAATTAATAATGTTGAGATTTTGTAACATAACATTTTGTAACGTCAATGTTATTTTCGATTATAAAGTGCAATGAGCCATCGTTGGAGAATCCTGCCGATATATAACCCTGTATTATTTTTATTGGTATTTTTAAAGTCGTGATCTCGCCTGCACTTGTGTGCGTGGATGTTTACGCGGTGCGGCTGTGCGGGCAGCGTCCAGAGTTCGATGCCCGGCCGCGACCACTCGCAGCCTAGGACATGTACAGGATGTCGCTATTATACTGCCTTTACTACGACGACTTTCCGTGCTGGCTATTTCAAATATAGTGTTACATTACGTCAATCTTAAAAAGGGAAAACGTTTGCTAATTATAACTTGTAAACTTTAAACTTTAGTGAATACTTCAGGGTCTTTATACTACGAAGTATTGTTTGAGAAACGAGAGCGGAGCAGTGCACAGTCTTTGTAACAACGCTACTCTATAAATTAATAAGGTATCGAGTGCCACTCAAACTGTAACACAAGCTAAGATGACGCAGCGAGATTCTCCGTAATAATTAACTACCAAGTATCTATGAGTTCACCATCGCTCAAGTATGCCTTTATTGTCTAAGAAGCTAATTTAACGTAGCGAGGAGTAGATATACATATGTGTTTTTTATTATGTAGCCATGTATCACGGCCTTGTCTGCAGCGCTGTGCTTTGATATGTTGATGTGTACTCTTTGCTATTGTTAGCAAACATAAATTAATTTTAATTATTCTTTATTTATAACGATATAAGAAATGATTGTTGTGGCATGCAAATATTTGACATCGAGTTTAGACTTGAATTAAGAAGTAGTGTTCGATTTCTCGAACACATCAATATACACCTTTGTCATTTAAATTCTAAGGACTCTGACAGTTGCACGATGTTGGTCGGTGGCTCGCGTGGACAAGTGTTCGCACTTGCGATACTGAATCACCTAACGATTTGCGGTTTGTTACGGCTATTATCTATGTAGAACGTTACAATTAGTCCGAATCTATTAGAAACAGCTACGGCCGATAGATAACGTTACTATAGATAGATAGCGATCTTAAGGCGATCAATTAAGCTGTGTAGCAGTCAGCGGCTCACCACAACACAGTTTCCAAAATGTTCCTGTGGTCTGATGTCCATTGGCCGCATTCATATTTTGCGCTACAATTACTTCGGAGCCGTACGTGTTGGTATGACCCGGCAGAGTTGCGTGGCGCGCTGGTTGCTCGGCGGCCAGTGGTTGCGATGGTCTCGCGGTTGTGGTCGGGTTGTCGCGCCAGTTCAACGTTCAAGTGCAGCGCGGCCGCACATCCCAGCAGACCGTAAAGGTGCGCGCGCGCGCTGATGCCTCATGCCGGTCGACATCCGACATCCGAACGAATTATTCAATACTATCTATTAAGTACGCAGTTGTTGTAACTAACTAATAATAAACTGACTTTGTACAAGTGTTCTGAGTGTTTGTTCACACGTTTGCTTTGAAACTGTTGTCCTGAACGTGCTGTGCTCTTTTTGGGGTCGAATAAGAAGGTAAATATCTTTTTACAGTTACTCTCGATACAGTTAAGATAACTACGACATCGCCTAAGGATATTATCCTTAGAAAGTAGAATATTATAATGTACGTCATTACGTAGAGGTGAATATTTTAGTGAATTATTTTTATGGCTGGAGCTTTTAAGTTTATAACTTTTATATGAAGTTTTCCAAGGAATATTTTTGTATAATTTCTTTATTAAATGAAAGGAAATAAAAAAAATGGCAAAATATATGGTGGAATCAATGGGACCTACAAGGTTCTCAATAAATAAATAGACACAATAAAAAAACTTGACATTGAAACGTAAATTTATTACCATACGCCAATAGCAAAAAAGTTAAAGCCCGACAAAATATACATAAAATGTCACTAATAATGACAAATTCGTAAAGTACGCCATTCAAACAAATATGCGATAACATTCGTAGCGCACGAACCGTGCCTTAAAAAGACATCAACGATGCAGATTCGTGCAACCTTACGATATTTTTACATTTTTATTACATTTTCAATTGAGAACCGACAATAAATCATAATTGGATTTAAATATGATAATTTTATTATTTATTAGCATTCAGTGATAACGTATCTAGCTACTGTACAATAACGCTTTGTAACAATAGTAGGAAGACTTTTCGTATACATAAGTAAAACTATTTACTATTTTAGTTTTCGTGTTATTCAAATTTTTGTACTACCTTGTTCGTTGCTCTTATAGTTAGATGTATGACTAAGACCCGAGATTAAATTGAATATTAAGAAAAAAATAGAAAGACGATTTCGATAAAAAAATATGATTTTACCATAATGATATTTCGTAAGGAATTGCTTCAAAATTTGCTTTCAAGCTATTGCTGGAGATCTCTATTTATCACTCTAGGGTGAGAAATATTTATACAATATAATATACATTTATTAAACTTTCAACACCCGAACATTTTCTTTAATTATAAGTTCGTAATAACTTAGATCAACAATATATTAATAAAGTACTAAGTAACAGTAATTTAAGCGTCAACCGTTGCCAGTAATTGACACAAATATATCGTTAGTAAAATTATACTCACAGTTATTTCATTAAACGTTGTAATACCGGTTATTGTTACTTAATTACAAGCAAACACTTCACTTCTAATTACTTACTATGTAACTATAATATTAAATGTTGAAGGGTTATAAATATAATAGAGCTACTTATATATATGTGGAAAATGAAGCGTTTTAATAGGTACCTTAATTATTAGTTATTTGACTCTAAACTTCGACGGCGGGGTCGCAAGTACGTGGCTCCTTATATTCCATTAGAATCGTTTTTTATTTTACTTGCGACAAATATGGTATTTTTATAAAAACATCAATTGGTACAAATATTGTTCAAAAATAGTACTACTTTCGCCACGCCAAAAAAACCCAAATCCAAGTAAGTAAGTTCCCTAATAATTTAAAACAAAATATAAATTATTTCTTCAACAAAAATATGTAAGCGATTGTTTGATAAGCAACAATGGTCGTTCAATCCGATGCCTCGCACTACCAAAGGTTATTTAACGGGATATTTAGTTTGCTATTCAAGTAATACGCGTCATTTCAGACAACAGTTCAATACTTTCAACTACAGTTATTTACAACATTATTAGTGAATTTATCACGGACAGTTGAAAACAATATCGTGACTACTAGCATTAAATTTAGTAATTAACCATCTTTAAATGTTCTCTTGTTAACGGCCTCTTAAAATATACGTCTTGAGTTTTATTCCCTACCAAAGCCACGGCCCTCCTCATTAATATTTCCGATTTACTTTCTTTTCTTAGGAACCTTCTGAAAATTATAAACATAACAAAGAGAATTGGCTAAATTACTTACCAATTAATTAACATATTTTCTATAATGTGTGTAAATATTATACATCAGTGAGTATACAAATATAAAATAAGTATAACCAAAATGTGTAGTATGCACATACCTATACACGAATATAAGTAAAATCCTGATAGGTTCTTTTACTAATATGATATGTACTATACTAGTATATTGGTCACAATTATCCTTTTTATACTAAAATAGATGAAAAAACAAGGATAAATTGTTACCACAGTACTGTTAAAGTTGAGCTAGAGGCGGCCATTTTTTAAACTTTGATATTGTTATATTATATGATAAAAAAGTGCAGTAAAACCTATACCACTCCCTAAAAATAAACAAAGACATAAGTTATACATGACGTTACTAAATAAATAAAAAGCCACAGCACTTTCTTATGTAAAAAAAATAAACAAGCTAAGTTGACTTGATTATTTTTGCAATGAAAAAGGCTATCTCTAGGCTATAAAAAATAAATGAGGGGCTACATTGAGCTATAAAAACATCAGCTGTGAGCGATGACCTGACAGGTCTACATTGACGGTGTAGTATTTTTTAGCTTAGCATCTAGATTATGACCGGGACGTCATAGTGTTTTACACAAGAAACGAACATAAAAACTTGAAAGATTCCAGCAAAAACCTCCAGCACAAAAAGAAGGACTTTGTTTTATCAATACTTTTTATTTATTTTAGTAGCTGGTCTATAATTTCAATTATCACGAACAATAATATAACATTACTTCATAGAAGTACGTATATAATCTTAGTTTATCTTTTAATTATTAAATTACAGAATTTTATTTAGATGGCGGTACTATACTGGGCTAATGTAACACAAGACATTCAAT